AAAGGTTACCATATCGAACATCTTAAGCTTTTACTGAAGTTGAACACAATTCATGTTCTACTTCTCCATGTGCAGATAAAGCCTGTTTCTTTTACAAGTGCTCATACCCTCCCAAAAGGGCTATGTAAGTATGTTGATCGTGGGACACTTGAAACATGCCTTCACCTTGTTGTTCTTTCCCTATGTGTGGTAAAAATTTATTTTATATGCTAGTTTTTTTAGCATTATCTATTGAAAAACATTCTGAGATAGATTTTTGTATTTTCAGGTTATGGCTGGTTCTGGGCATCTGCAGACATTCAGATTGTTGAAATTTCTACGCTGTCGAAATTCCGTTGATGGGCACTCAAGTTATGGTATTCAAATGTGTGTAAGTACTCCTGCCATCTTGTTTTAGTTGGACTAGGTTTAGGAGACAACGCTAGTGCTTCTCCCTCTCCTGTCATTACATGGATCTCATTCATTTCAGGTAAGCTTAGCCATTGGATTTCTGTTTCTTGGAGGTGGAAAGCTGACCTTCTCAACCAGCAAAAGTTCTATTGCTGCTTTGCTAATAACACTTTATCCACGATTGCCAAATGGACCTAATGACAACCGATGCCACCTTCAGGTAACTGCAAAAGTGCTGTGCCTTGTATTCTGGAACATAAATCATATTTTACTATGTATTGTGCATTACTTCAGTGAGGTGTTGATCACTAATATGAATTGGACAGGGATATGTATAATAGATTAGGTTATGATTCTTTCTGGTGGATAGGATTTACCCTTTAATACAAGGGACTAATCTTAAACTAGAAATATTAGAGCTTCATTATTGGGATGTTTTATAAGCTAAGGCAATCATCATTACAGGCATTCCGACATTTATATGTTCTAGCAACGGAAGCTCGTTGGGTTCAGACAGTCGATGTTGACACTGGTTTGCCTGTCTATGTACCACTTGAAGTTACTATCAAGGAAACTGAAAACTATGCAGAAACCAGTTTCTGTGAAATCACTCCTTGCATTCTTCCTGAGCGTTCCATTGTAAGTGTTGGTTGTTTCTGTGTTCAAGGCTTCAAGAAATTAGTTGCATTAATGCAGGATATTGCCATGTTTTAAATTTTATTTTTGTTCTAGTATTATCTTTGTATTCAAATCACAATACAGTAGGATTAAATAGGCTGTCTAACATGGACTGCAGTTGAAGGCTGTTCGTATTTGTGGTCCTCGATACTGGCCTCAAGTCATGGAGCTCATTCCAGAAGGTAGATTTACTGATGGTGGTTAATGCTTCTCAACGATGTTTAAAAATGTTGCTATATATATTCCTATATCTGCCAACATTAACAATAACTCTTGTACAGAAAAACCATGGTGGATTTTGGGGGACAAGAGTGACCCCTTCAATTCTGGTGTACTCTATGTGAAGAGAAAAGTAGGAGCTTGTTCATATGTTGATGATCCTATAGGATGTCAATCGCTGTTATCACGGGCAATGCATAAAGTTGGTGCTTCATTCAAGGATCTTTTGATCTTTCATACTTTGCATCGATTATTTTAATCAAATTAAATCTCTTTGCTCCAGGTTTTTGGTCTTACACACTTGAGAGCTTCTGCAAGTTCCAAGTCTATAGCTGGTATCACTGTAGATCAGTTGGTTAGTGCATTCTCATCTGATCCAAGCTTAACTGCCTTTGCCCAACTATGCTGTAATCCTTCCTGGAATACCAGGTATGCAAATCCTGTCACTGTTTATCCTATTTCACAATTTTGCTTAATAGCCTATTGAGAATTAATAAATACGAATGAAATTGAATATTTCTGATTAGTGGCAACTTGTTTAATATATCTTTAGGTATGGAATTGCCTTCCACGAGTATTGTTTGCAGGTGCTGTTTGAGTGTGTGAGTAAGGACAGGCCAGCCCTTTTACAGGTAACTTATGAACTTGCCCTATGTGATTAGATGCACGCCAGCATAGTCTGAGTTTCTTGCTTATAAATGCAGTAATGTATCACTCAAATGTCTTCCTGATGTTATTTTGTTCTTACTGGAATGCTATTTCAATCTTATTTGGTACAAATTTCTGGTACTGTGAAACTCGCAGGTGTACCTGTCCTTGTACACTACAATTGAGTCCATGGCAGAACAAGTTACTGCTGGTGCCAGTAGTTTAGGCGATTCAATTTTCCTCTATAGTCTAAAGGTATGTTCTGTTTGTACATCTTCTCAATGATAGTGTTGGGCTACAGATTTAACATTTGACAGTTTGCCTCTCGTGTTCTTACCTTTTTGGTCTTCCCCAATGAAGCTTGCTCTATCCTATGGTGAATCCTTGATGAGTAAAATATTAACCACATCAAAAGGCGGCATCTTGCAAACAACTTTCCTGGGTTCAGTCAAGAAGCGGGTGGAAGAGATTCTCAGTTCCTCACCGGAGTTACAACGCAATCTTTTAGATTATATGAAATCAGGTAGATGGCCATCCGATGATTCCCTAGGAGGGCAAGCTTCAACTTATCTTTCTTGGTATCTACAATGGTATGGCGTGCCATCACCATATGAACTTAGAAGAGCCAAGGAGAAAATAAATGCCTTGGGTATGCCCTCATCCATTCCCTTATTGCATTTGTTATTTCCGAGAACAAATGTTTCTGCACTTGGTGAGATAAATAGTAGTATGTGTCTCTCTTAGGGACCGAATGTTAAGCCTAAGCTTAGTGTGATGTAATATTTTTTTCTACTTGGTGAGTCCTGACTTGTAAATTAGGAAGTGTGAAATGACAAATTAGGGTAATATAGGAAGGTGGAAATATCTGATCAGATGTATGAGTAAATTTAAGATTCATTTTAAGCAGTGTAAGAGAAGATTAGGTGTCGTCAGCTGTTTACAAAATGATTTCTCAGTTAACTACTGGGGTAGATATGATGTTTATTTAATGAGTTAATACTCAAAATCGTCCTCGACTATAGTGGTTTTTCTCAATTTCGTCCTAAACGACTTTGGTGACCTAATATCGTCCCAGACTTTTGTGTTTCGCTTAATTTAGTCCCAGACTTTTGTGTTTTTGCTCAATTTAGTCCCTCATTTGTTATTCTGTCCATTTGGTGTTAAATAAATAGACAATTCAGTAATTTTAATATTGGCATCTCTTTACTCATAGACATGTGAACTGCGAAATCTTTTTTTTTTTTTTTACGAATTACTCCCAGAATTACTCATAAAACTGCGAATATAAAATTTGATTTGCAGGTTCGGGAGTAATTCTGGGTGTAATTCGTACAAGAAAGAGGAATTTCGCACTTCACAAGTTGAAAGTAAAGAGAGATCAATATTGACATTACTGAATTGTCCCTTTATTTAACACTAATTTGACGGAATAACAAATGGAGGACTAAATTGAGCGAAACACAAAAGTCTGGGACGATATTAGGTCACCAAAGTCGTTTAGGACGAAATTGAGAAAAACCACTATAGTCGAGGACGATCTTGGGTATTAACTCTTTATTTAATGACTAATGGGCACATTTAAGTGATTTAATTCAGTGTTGTATTATTTTTCTAGGGGTGCATGTGAAAGTGTTTTTTCTTTTTCAATAATATAATCAAATATATAGGCACAGCCTGGAATCATAAAAATTTGGTGATACCCGAGTTATAGGTGCATTGTTTGACTGTTTTAAAAGTTTTTTTTGGTACATTTAGAAGATACAAATTGAGGTTAATGTGAATATTGTTAAAGTATAAGGTTTTATTAAAATAACTCTTTTGTTTATTATGTCTTTTCATCAAAGCAAAATTTATTTTACAATGTGTCATACGTCAAATTGGGTCTGGTTAGCAATAGTAGGTGAGGAAGGCAAAAAATATAAGTGCTATTAAAAATGAAATAATGCCACACGCCCATACATGCTTTACTAAACCTTATTATTGTATTATTTTTAGGAATACATATTAAATTTGTTAAGGATTTTGAGTTTTGTATTTATTTTATATTTTATTAACTATTTAAAATTAATTTACTAGAATGTCAATGTAGTGGATACCTTTGGCACCTACTTGTACCTACTAGAGCTTATGCGAGTTTTTAAATTGTACACCCACTACGGACGGTGGTGCGGGCAAATTATACTATGCACGGACGCACGGTAGATAAATATTCATTATTAATAGAAAAAAAAAAGGGTAAACATGTTTATGAACTTTACTCAAAAAATTAATTAGGTTCTTAAACTTTTAAACGTTATAATAAAATTTATAAACATATTATTTTGGAGTATTAAAATTGTGAAATCGATTGGTGACATGTTATTTCAAGTCATTAGGGTTCTAGTGATCCCCTGGCAAACTCCGGCGAGGCTCTGACTAATTTTCAGCAACAAGACACTGTGTCGGTGTTTTGTTGCTGAAAATTGGTCAGAGGCTCGGTGGAGTTCGCCGGAAGATCGCCGAAATCTTAATGACTAGCAATCACAATTCATAGGTCATCAAAAAGTTTTTGGACTTCAATGCTCTAAAATAACATCTTTGTGAGTTTAATTGTATCTTTTGAAAGTTGACCTAATTGATTTTTTGAGTAAAGTTCATGAGTCTATTTGATCTTTTTTCCTTTTTAATATATTGAATGTTCATTTCTTGTGTACTGAAAATTCATTAATTGGTACTTGGTAGTATATTAAATAATAAATCTTTTAGTACACAAAAATTAAATATTAAAAAAAATAAACATTCAATGTATTAAAAATAAATCATAAATATATTAAAAATGAATCTTATGTGAGTGGTGTACCATCATCCATTTTCTAATCATTTAACAATGCAAAGTTGGGATATCTTTAAAGTTAATAATGCTGCTTTTTAATTAGAATGAAATTATGTAAAAGTATGATTTTATAACTTTCCAAGCCAAAAGTCATTAAAAAAATGTGATGAAAAATAAATGGGAGTCTAGTGCAATTCAGAGTTTAATGAGAATATTATTAAATTATACGGAGTAAAACATTTTAAAAAGAACTTTTTTCTTATTATATTTCTTTTCGTCAATGCAAAATTCATTTTACAATATGTCCCCGAAAAAGAAAATAAGTAGGCACCACCCTAAACAACAGTACAGAAAAGGTAAATTGGTAACCAGCAACTAATTAAACAATAAAACCCAAACTATATAAGGGAAGCAACTATACATTCTACCAACAAAATTAAACTTATGTGAATCAGTAAAATAAATTGCGTCACGTATCATGAACGAGAAATAATATGTGAGTATAGAAATTCGTTCCATGTGTCGGGCAGTCCAGGGAGGCACCAATGAATGCAATCGGCGTAGGTGGTTGGATCGGCCTGTTGCTCGGGGGTGAGCATTTTGCCTTGACGAATGGTGTGAACGGAGGTATGTGCATCTTTTCTGTACTCGGAGAGTTTGGTGATGTTAAGGAAGTGAACTGGCTTTTTCATGGTCCTTGTTATGTTTGATGCTATGGAGAATAGCCTATAGTCCGTGCCAACATTCAAGGGCATTGATGTGTTGAGAATTGGGCTGGTTTCCTTGGCACATTTTATCCCATTTGGGTTTTCCCAATCCAAACTCCTATTTGCACAATCACATAACAATAAATCAAACTTAATAACATCAATTAAGAAATTTAATTTGTATGAAAAGGGGACAATCTAGTAAATTAGTCAAACTTTTGGTTTGGTAATCACAATGTATGTTCTCTAAGTCCAATTCTCGGTGGGAGCAGCTAGTATATTGGTCTTTTCGGTTTGAACTGTTCAACTATGGACAACTTAGGTTCGTTTACCTCCTTATGGTCCTTTGCCGCCTAGAGTCACAAGGCGGGATTTACCCAGTATATATGGTAGTGATGAGTAGTGACTATGAGTTTCCCTCGTCATCTAAGAAAAGAGTAACGTTTTGATTTACAAGAAACCTATCTGAGGGTAAGCTTTGAGTGAAGCCCGCCTTGTGATTACAAAAAGACAAACCAACCTAGATTTTTCATATATAAGTGATTGACTTGAATTAAGAAAGTCAATAGAAAGCTCTCACGGGTCTATCGGTCAACCTAATTAGCTCATGGGAAAAGAGATGTGTGGCTTACTTGATATGAAGAGGAGACATGCTCATGAAGAAGACTTGGGTCCGGTTCGGATCCACATTTTTGTCGACCCACTTAGACCAAGTGCTCAACACCTTCCTGTAAGCTAAAGGCCGGTCAACCTCATCATATTCCGTCGCGCCTTTATCAAACGAGCCACGCCTGTTGGGCCAAACCCGGTTCACAAAAAAAAAAAAAAAAACCAAAATTCGGTTCAATTAATTTTATTTTGTTAACTAATAAAAATTTAAGGATTAAAAAATGAAAAAATTAATCAAAAATTTTGTGTCAAACGGCATAACTTTTACTCTCCCAAATGGAAGATTATATATTCGAACCTCATTCTAACAAAATCAATAATACTAAAAGAAAAACTGAAATAGAGTTAAATTGGTAAACTTACAGAACTTTCATGGAGAAAGTGTTCATCCACCAAATGTATGTGTTGAAGATGAGATAATCCACATTTTTCCAGTTTTTGCCATGTTTCTTGATGGACTTGGGCATGATAATCCGGTTCAATATGCTATGCATAGTCGGATCATCCGAATTCGACTCCACCAAAAATGGGGCCCAATAAAACTCCACCGTAGCATTATAATCCTACAACATTAATTTCAATCACATTATAACTCTTTATATTTATTAATCAATACAATATATAATATTTGGTATAACCATTTTTTATTTTTATTTTTTTGCAACTCTACCAAGTTAGTTCAACAATTGATTTGGTAATCACGAGATTCTAAGTTTGATTCATTGTGGGAGCTCTTTATTGACTTTCTTAGTTTGAGTTAGGTCTTCAAAGCGCATTTTCGGGTAGCGGCTACGGGTTTTCTCGTAAATCAAAGGGGCAGATATAACTAATTTTTTGTTTTGATTTTTTGGAGTAACGAGTGAAATTTACAACTACTACTCACAAGTGTATACTAAACTTCAATCCTATGTAATAGCGGACAAATCACACATGAGAGATAAGTTACACTAAAAAGAGTATGTGGTGGTTCGACCGAGAGGGTGTTTGACAACATTTTATTTTGATTTCTTACACATCCATCCCAAATGGTAGTCCACCCACTCAAAGAATATAATCTTGCAGGTCAACCAACCACTTAACCCAATAATTAGGTTAAAGATTAAATAACTTAAACAAATTAAAACATGCAAGCAACATTATATTATACAAACTAAGCAATTTTATATGTTACGGAGTATATATTAAATTGGATATGTTCTACCTATAAAATATAAATGGAACAATTCTTACTGTGAGGTTTATGGCATCATTGAAACTGTCAAATCCTAGGTATTAAAACAACTAACCAATAAAGTACAATAAATCTCTAACTTGAATTAGTAAACCTATATACGCTATAAGAAAACAATAAAAACATTAATAATATACTTAATAATGATTTAAATAGTAACAACTTAAATATTTATTGATTTAAGTGTTTTATCAATGAAAATTTATGGGTAAATTAAATACTTTATAATAATGAGGGAAGAAAATGACCTCAATTCTGAAAACGGATAAAGAACCAGTCTTGTTCAGGCTTTTCCTCCCTGGAGGAGAAACAGATTGAACCAAACAAACCATTGATTCCCATTGGTTTCTGTTTAATGAATCTCCCACAAACATCAGTCTCTTGTTCCTTAGCTTCTCCAGCAACAGTTTTGGTTTAAACCTGATGATGTATGAAACCAAAATCCCAGGTTATATTATATTTAATGATGTAACTAAGTAAAGAAAGATCTAGAAATTTGCTAAGAAAGAGCCCCAACGGACAGTTCAGTTGGTTCCTGAGTGATAAATTATGGATAAAGATACAAGATCGAATCCTACAGGCTTATTGCACTGCTGAAAATTATGAAATTTACGACCACCTGAAAATGATCTTAAATCAAGTTGAAAGTCTTGTTCCGACCACTTTTTACTTTCAACTTTTGCACACATGGCTATATGCTCAACACGTCCACTCACGTGTGCGGTGGGTTCCAAGCAACACGTCAACACGTGGACCGTAGTCGCTTATGGGTGGCGCTGACCTTTGGCATGGCTCTGATATCAAATTAAAACATGTACTCCATCACAACTAAAAGACTAAGCTTATAGTTGGATTGCACATTAATGGCTATATGCTCAACAAGGCTAGGATAAGGGAGTTTGGGGTTAGGAATTTTCAACTTTTGTGGAGAAGAATTATATTTGCTAAGAAATAATATTAATAAGGTTGTATTGATTACTTGGGTAAAGAGCAATCTCTGGGCTGCCATCTCCAGTTCTGATACATGGAGTCTCTTCTGCCGTTTCTCATGCAGGTTACTTGCGCCGTAAGAAACTCACATTCCGCCTCTTTGTAGAGAGGGTGGGTGGCGTTATCAAACACCCATTTCCCGGTGTAAAGATCGCAACTTTCCGGCGGCAATTCGATGCTTTCTTCTTCTTCCTCCTCCTCTTCTTCGCCTTGCTTTTGTTCATCGTCGTCGCCGTCTTCTCTGCCTTGTTCTTGATCGCCGGCGACGGGAAGTTCAATCTTCTCTCGCTCCGCCACGGAGGAAAGCGATCTGCTGCTGTCCGGCAGGTCATCACTGGCCGGAACCTTCGTGGCGTTTTCCAGAACCGGCAGGGTGGCTGTTGTTTCTTGAATTTCCGGCTCGCCGCCTTTGTGGGCGGAGATCGGGAACTCCGCGATGGACATGACGTCCTCGTTGTACATGAAACACCCGAAGACGAAAACGGAGAAAACCACCGCGAAGACGTACAGGTTGCCGTTCTTCCGCCCGCCGCCGCCGCCGCTCTTCATGTTGAAGAGCGTCTTCCGGCCGCCGTGAAACGGATGCATGAGAATTGAAGGCGGAGAACGGCGGCTGTGGGAGGAGACGATAACGGATAAGACAGGAAACGGTCGAAATTATGGAGCGAATAGAACCTGAGAGGCTGAGACTGAGATATATAGTTTGAAATGACATGTTTATATTATTTCTTCTCCGTTTGGTTTAACGGAGATTTGGTAAAATGGCGTTTTCTGCAGGGGACTATTCTGGTTCTGAGTGGTTTAAGGGTTATTGTCTTTCTCTTAAACTTATAAGAATTTTTTTTTTTTTTTGAAAAAATATTTTTTAAGCAATATAAGAAAACCTCATATACTTTGTTTCCAACAGATTGAATCTTCAACTCCAAGGGCTCCCACGCTCCTTTGAAATGTTGCTTCCATACGGTTACTGGTGAGATTCGATTTCAGGTCATTATTCGTAAACTTTACCCCTATGATCATCTGAGTTGTTTATGCAAACAAAAAGTGTACAAGATATAAATATCGTCTTGTGAACCTAATTGATAAAAAATTAAAAAGAAATAAATTATTCTAAATTGTTTATAATTAATAGATTGAATTAATAAGTTATTCTCATGTGGAGTCGAATTTGTAACCGTATTAATTTCTATAACTACTATGGTTGCTGAATCACGGATTGGTTAAAGAAAAGAAAAGAGGATGGAGGAGTGAATCTAAAGCGTTGCAGGTTAGTTGATCCCGTTGACTGTCGTTTTCGACATTGTACGGCATGCGGTAAAAAAAAATAATGCTTCCGATACATTGGAAATTGGAGTTTATAATATATTGAAACTATGAAGTCAAATGGTATCTAAAATCTCAAAATATACATATATATATATATATATATATATATATATAAATTTAAGATCATATGAGAACACCTGCTTAGGTGAGAACGTGAGAACAAATCGTGTGCATCCATCTAATATTTTTTAATGGTCTAGATTAGATTAAGTGTGTGCGAACGCGCATTAAATGTGTGCAAATGCGATTAAGTGTGTTTACACACATTTAATGCGCATTCGCACACACTTAATCTAATGTATACCATTAAAAAATATTAGATGAATACACATGATGTGTTCTCATGTTCTCACTTAAACACATGTTCTCACTGGAACCCTGCCCTATATATATATATATATATATATATATATATATATATATATATATATGTCTTACCAATATGAGAATTGATTCCAACATTTTTTGTGAAGAAGAATCTGCGGAATACATGTTTAAGAAATTCAAGATAAATTTCATTCGGGAACAAAATAAAGTGACGAACATGCTTGTGAGAGAGACCGCTGATCAAGAAGAGGATGAATGTATCTTTGAGACTGCTCCAAGGAACATTGCAAGCTGTTTCGTATGGATTAAGACTAGTACGTATTAGGACTCTTTGTATATGAGTCATTATATTAAGACTAGTATTAAGACTTTTTGTATCTGAGTCATTATATAACTATCTATTCTAGTCTCCTTATGATTCTTCTTGTCTTTACAATAGTAATAACAAATTTATTAAATACAAAGAGTCGTAATACTAATCCTAATAGCATGGAAGAAGCTGGCACCCTTGGCGCTGCTAATTACAATGTGAGGATTAGTTACAAATCCTGGATTCAATCCTCCTTTCATTTGAAAAAAGATAAATTTCATTCAAAGTGATATTCATAGTTCGTAATTATTCAATCAAAGAGCCCATGTGCGATATGGTTAACCAATCAAGAAACGTTATCTCAAACAAAATGAGTTCTAATATTAGTTGTAGCAATTGTTATAAAATGAAAATAGTAATGATATGAGTTCATATCACTTGCTCAACTTAATTATATAGAGTAAGGTGGCAAATTATGCTGTGCATGGTGCATACGGATGCAAAAACGACATCGTTTTACTTAAAAAAAATTATTTTCGATTGTCGTTAGTTACATAAACATATGTTCATAATTTTATAATTTCACATTCTGAATTTATAGTCATGGAATTATGGATGTGTAGTTATGCAATTTTGGATTTATAGTTATGATGAAGTTATGGATGTGTAATTATGCATACAATTCTGAATGTATAGTTATGAAGTTATAATTTCACATTTTGAATGTATAGTTATGATCGAAGTTATTGATGTGTAGTTATGCAATTCTGGATTTATAGTTATGAAGTTATGGATGTGTAGTTCTGCAATTATGGATTTATAGTTATGAAGTTATTGGTGTGTAGTTATGCAGTTCTGAATGTATAATTTTGAAGTTATGGATGTGTAGTTATACAATTTTGGATTTATAGTTATGGATGTGTAATTATGTAATTCTGGATGTATAGTTATAAAGTTATATATGGATGTATAGTTATGCAATTCTGATTTTTTTTTTTTTAAGTCGGACGTCAAAACGACGTCGTTGTCGTTTTTACAACCGTATACACCATGCATAGTGTACACAGTTGCACAGCATAACGCTCCGAGTAAGGTTGCCCTTAGGAGCATATAGCATGCCCTGCATTACCCATCTTGCGATTTACTTCCTCCACAAAATCCCAAAGAAATTGTTAGGGCTGGTGATGGGGAACTACTCTAAAAAAAAAAAAATTATAAAATAAAGTAGCTCAATTAATTAAAGAGTTCTCAATTTGACAGTCCAACGTGTGACCTTCGATCTTGTACATAAATTATACTCCATATGATTATGTGGTTTATAATTTATGTACAAGAAAGTCACACGTTGAATTCACCTCTCCATATAGTTATGTAGCTTGCGAGTTATTATACATGAACAAATAACTTATTACATGTTGGTTTTACGACTACTGGCATGGAAGTACATTTGATAATGTGATTGGCTTATGGTAATCGGGTATTTATGGTAGAATGGAATATTTTATATGATGTAGAGGAATTTAGAAAATATAAAGATATTTAGGTAGTGGAGGTGATTCGGGGAATAAAATGATATTTAGGAAATTAGTTTATTTAGGTTGACTTGCCTAATTTCGTAATTGCCACTTTAATTAATTCTTCCCCGTCAAAGTTGACTGGTCACTTAAACTGACTGGCTGGTTATGATTCAAATGTCGAGTGCCAAGCGCTAGATTCGGCTGGCTGACTACCATGCTCGACTGATTGCTAATGGTGCACATCTTCAAATATGTGGTTGCGAGTTTCCCACGTTACAAAACAAAAAACAAAAAACAAAAAACAAAAAAAAAAAAAACAAAAAAAAAACATTTTAAATTAAATAGTTGTGTATTAATTAATCTTGATCATGGTGGGTGTATGTCCTAATTTTTTTTTTTTTTTATAAATGGAACATTTCTCGGTTTCTTTACCAATAGCCAATTGTTTGTTTGTTTGTTTTAATTTTTCAATAATAATAAAAATGGTATAGTTGCTAAAGTACAGTTGTAGCGTTCGAAGTTGGTATGTTCTTGATACATCATATCATATGGTCCAAACGCCAAAGCTAAGCAACTAAATATGAAAAGAACGTGAAAAAGTAACGTAGTTAATTAACAACAAGGCATTACAAGAAAAACGTTACTGTCGCGACGGATGGCGCCACCAATAAAAACCGTAGCATCATATGATACCAATTCAAGTCTTTTAATTAATTTGTCAACAAACAATGTTGGACCAAGTTTAAAGCAATATATACATGGGGCTAATTAATTAGGTAATGTCAATTATTTGATTAATTAATTTAGCCTAATAAGCAGGATGAAACTGATTAAATGATCTTTCATTGTCACCCACGCACAAGGGAGGGGTTGATTCGATGCATCCTTATTCACCAATTCATCTATGGCTTCTTAATATATCTGCGATGAAATATTAGGTAGTAGATTTGATCTAATAGGGTTCCATTTAACATATATGCATGTGTTGAGAGAAAACTAGATCAAGAATTTTTATTTTTTATTTTTAAGAAAAACAAACAAACAAGATTTAAGTAGTTCGATAATGTGCAAAATTACTGCATGCGAGGCCGATGGCCCCACAACCTGGCCCACTTAGCGAACCCAGGATAGTTATGCTGTGGAACCGTGTTCACCATGCGCATATGGTGAACACAGGATAAATCCATAATTTCTAAGTTGTAGATTCATAATTTATGTATGTACTATAGATTCATAATTTCTATATTGTAGAATCATAATTTATGTACTGTAGATTCATAATATCTGTACTGCGAAGACGAAATAATGCGATTGCGAAGAGAAAAACATCGTTAACAACAAATGAAAAACAAAATTATGAATCTACAACATAGAAATTATGGATTACCCTTGTGTTCACCATGCGCATGGTGAACACGTTTCCACAGCATAATTTGCGGCGAACCTAGGTGCAAATTAAACCCCAGAGATAGATGCTATTGTTCAGCTCTAACACTTATATATCATCTTCCAGTAACATATGTGACGTATACAATATGTATAAACTCAATAGAATCTAGAAGCTCAAGTCTAATGGTGTGCATGACAAGATATCATTAATGACATTTAATGCGAACTCATTGAGCTATTGCCGTAGCATATAGATTCATACCTCAACTACCATCCTCGTCCTCAATCTATTTTACTATTTAACTCAAAATTTTGAGATGTGTTTTCTTTATTTTTTGAAGGAACGATATGAGCAATCTTACCATATTTAGGAAGAATATTGTCATGTTTATAATGAGTCAGTTTATGGTCATGCTGGAATTATTAGGAATTTAGTTTCCATATATGACCAAGGGCATTCAATGCTCGTACTAGTACACAACCCTAAAAAAGTAATTGTAATATTGGTTCCGAACTTTCGATACTTACTACACTATCACCTTATACAATTCTGTTCTTTCATTTTTCAATTCTCATATACTCGTTCTTCAATAGTTTTTATTTACCGACTTTTGACCATATCATACATAGTTATACTCGCTACAGTTATAATAAAAAAATTAAAATTAAATTCTTAGATCATAACTCAATTACATTAATTTGCCATTAGATAAAGACAACACCCCAAACCAAGAGAAATACGGCATACTCCCGTCTCAGGCAAATTATGTTGTGCATCCGTATGCACCATGCATGGTGCAAAATGACGTCGTTTTAATAAAACGCGCGTCTCCCCTTAAAAAAAAAAAAGCAGGTTCGATTCCCAACAACAACATATGAACTAAAATTCTATAATCGGTGAACTAAAATTCCATAATCGATGAACTATAATTCCATAATCTAATCTATGAACTAAAAATTCCAGAATGAATGAACTAAAATTCCATAATCTATAAACTAAAATTTCAGAATCGATGAACTACAATTCCATAATCGATGAACTATAATTCCATAATCAATGAACTATAATTCCATAATCTATGAACTAAAATTCCAGAATGAATGAACAATATAATGTTGTTGCTGGGAATCGAACCTGAATTTTTTTTAAAAAGGAGACCCGCGTTTTTTAATAAAACGACGTCGTTTTGACATCCGTATGTACCATGCATGGTGCATACGGATGCACAGCATAACTATCCCCAGTCTCATGGATTGGGTATGTTGCAATTGAATTGGGCTTTGGTTGCATTTGCCCACTACTCAAACGTACCCATTCATGATAGAACTCATAGAAGCCTATAAATTTCTACTTAACAACTAGTGTTATCGAGATAAAGTTTATTTTTAGTATATGCGGAAAGTTCAATTTTAATATATTAAATATTCAATATTTGTGTACTGAAAATTCATTATTTTATATACTATTTAAAAACGTATTTTTAATACATTAAAAATGAACATTTATCTGTAGTTCATATTGCAATGTGGATCATAATCCACAATATAATTTGCCTGTTATCAATGGCACTCTAAAAAAAAAATAAAAAATCTTCATACAATATATATAGTTACATAATAATCAAAAGTGGGTACAACTAAAATTCACCTGCCATGATACGGTGCAGTCTGTAATACCAATACCCACCAGTATCACAAGTGCTGAAGGAGACACAAAACCAAACTGCATGCACTAATCACCATAAGGTCATTAATGATGACTTTAATTTAATTTAAAACCAAACAGAAAAAAAAAAATTTAAAAATTAAAGAAGAAAAACTAACGACAACAACAATATTGTCACCACTGCACTGCCATGATAAAACATAAAACCAAACATAACTAAGGATGATTTCAGACACGGTATCTGAGAAGAGGATCCTTAAGGAGAAGGCGTTCATGGTAGATTCTCCAGGCGTAATCCTCGAATGGGAAGGGATTGAACATTCTTCTTTCTCCTTTACTATCCTCTTCGTGTTCCTGGTTATTACTGTTCTTGATATCCTCGTCCTCGTCTTCGTTATTCGCAGGGTTGGGAAGCATAGGAGAGACGATGCTGTCGAGGGGAAGAGTGATGAGAAGAGCGATTGATATGCAGCGTGACCCATCCTCCCCTGCAGGGACTGCCCTTCCTCTCACCTTCTGTACCTTCCCATTGCTCCACACCTATCATTCATTTAATTACAACTTATGTTTCATCCCTATGTAACATAATGACCAGGCTCGGTAACATAGTTAGTCTATCAGGCAATTTTAACTTATTTAACAACTATTAATTGTTTCACTTAATTAAATAATCAATATGAGTGTTCCATTATAAAGCTTTTTGTAACAATTTGTTGCTTCAAAATGTTAAAATTCTGATCAGCTTTTACAAAAAGGTAATTTTGCATGTGATCAATGAGTGACACTCTCAAATAAAAAGTTTGAGTTCAATAGGTTGAAAAAGTATATATGAACATATACTACTACGTTGTAATAGAGTTAGTTATACTAAAAAAGTTATTTTAATATAATTAAAGGTGTGACATTAAGTCAAAATCTCCTTCCAATCTTCCATTTAGGAAGGAAGGTCGAAAAAAATGCACCCACTCGTACTAATCTAGCTTAAAATATAATATTTTCTCATACTAGCACAACATTATTAAGGACTTAAAGCCGCATATCATTGCATTTGTTAGGTTTTGAGGGGTCCATTTGAGTCAACGTTTGAAATTTCTTAATATCAACACCATATTTCACATTAGGGAGAAAAAAATAGTTAACCCGGCCCACAAAATGGGAACCTGAAATATGGGTTGGCTTGAAAATCCAAATATAAAATGGAAAGGATCCAAATTTATATTTAAAAAAAAAAAAAGAATAAATATTCTGACCTGAGCAATGTCGCCGACGGTGACCAAAATCGAGTCCACCTCCGGGGAGATAGAGACCCAACCCGAATCCGTTAACATATGGTATTTCTGGCATCTTATTTGGTACTGTAACCCGATAGCAAATGGATACATCCGACCCGTTAAAACTGGTGTGCTGACGGAAGACCCGTCGGAAATCCACAATAATGAACTGACCCGTGTGGGGTCTTCACGGGCCGGGTTATCGAACCCGACAATGGAAGCCAGTGCTTCCGTCACCTCTTTCCCAATCTTTTCCATTTCGCGAGTGAACGCACGGAGAGAACTCAAGTCCAACTCGGATTCCTCGGAGGAGCACGCCGAGTCGAGGCAGAACGACTCGCCGGCGCCGCCGGCAGCGTGATCGTCGTCGTCGGCTTCGGAATCGAAACCTAACGGCCAGTTCTTCGGGAAGTACACTTGCTTTCTATCGCGGGGCAGGTCGAAGAGAGAGCGAGCCAAGGACTCGGCCGAGTTGGCTAGCTCAGATTCGACGGAGTGGCGGCTGAGCTGGAAGAATCCGAGGTGTTTACAGGCGGAGAGGACCTCCGCGTGCTCCGATAGCGAGACGGAAGGAACGGCGGCGGTCTTATTGGACAGCGGCGAGCGGCGGCCGGGGAGGGAGAGAGTAGGCGGGAGGCGGTGGAGGAGAAGAGAGAGAGCGTCGGCGTGTCCTGAGGTGGACGAGAGGTTGGGCTGCGATAAGGGAGTTGGCGGCGGAGCAGCGGTGGCTCCGTAGGGCGTACGGAGGTGGTGGTGGTGGTGGTGGGGATGCTGCTCGTGCGCTGATGACGAGGCCATCAAGTTTGATTTGAGGTCACGTGCGTGTTTGAGAGGGAAAGCGAGAGAGGTTGGCTGCGGGTATAAAATAAGCTGGGATGATATTTTTGGAGACTCGTGACAAATCCAAAAGATTATATGCTGGGTCGCTGGGATGATAGAGTATACCTTATACGTGTAACCAAAATATAAAATTGGGGAATTTTATAGGATAAAGTTCAGCACATAAACAATTAATAATTAATTTTATTTTAGCCCTTAACCATAATTACAATTATTTTCGTTTTGTATTATTAATTTGATGGGGCAAATTCATTATAAAATGTTTAAAATTCATTTTTATGTAAACGAGTGAAGGTTTGTGAGAATGTTAGATGTTTATAAGTTGGTTTTTATCACATATTATGGATGACTTAGGTGTGTTTAGTTTATGAGGTAGAGATAAGGAATATGAATGAAATTAAAGTCATAAACATTATTTGATTGATAATTTTTTAAAATATAAATAATTTGATTACCTCAGGAGCGTTGATTCTTTGTATCGGATAAAATCAATTAAAAAACATATATCATCTTATTGACATTTTTATGATTACACTGACATTAATTTCGGATATTAATTTGTTTATTTTCAATGTATAAAATAAAATAAAATTTATTACCACTATGTTATCTATAAACTTTTATTTGACACACATATTTTTTAATATTAAACTTTATTACAATTTAATATTATTGACTCTATTATAATGTAATATCTGTCTAGTCAATATTTCTATTAAGTTTCAAACATGTGACCTCCCATTCAAGGGAGTTACAGTTACGACAGGTTTTTGGCCTGGTGTATATATCTATCACCATTATTATGAATTGAACCTACTCAAAGCTACTACTTACATAGTTGCATAGCCTTGTTAACCACTCCATGAAAAAGAGACAACCGTACAAAAGTTAGTCAGGTGGGCCCTGAATTATAGGACCAAGACAAGCAAGCATGCAGTGAAGCTAGCAGGACTGCCCTTTCGTCTTCTTCTTTTCCTTCACTGAATTTCAATTAGAATTAGATAGGGCATCCAGGTCGGTCTCATTGTTTTGCAATCTCAGCCGGAAAACAAGATTCTTTTTCTTTTAATCATTGCCAAAGAGCTATTGAAACATCCTCAAAGTAGTGTCTTAATTACTAGGTACCATGCATATCTACTCATATCAAAATAATGTTTGGTTAGATTTTATTTGTTGTAAATTAAAGTAAACAAATGTAAATATAAATTTGATAGCATAAATAAACATTGAGTATAATGATTTCGGTCTACGCCACTTAGTTATATTGATAGATAGTGTAAATGTAAGAGGTAGTAATGATATTGGGAAGCTAAGGGTCTAGCCATATAATATGAGGTTATGAAGCTATGGTTGGTACACTGCAAAGTTGCGAGGAATCAACATCCTTTACACTAAGGGGGCGTTTGGTTCACAGAATCTTGGATTACCCCAGGTAATAGGATTACCTTCGGGAAGGTAATGTGAGATTTTGGGAATGTAAGATTACCTTGTGTGTTTGGTTTGGATGGTGTAATATAATATTACCTTGTTTGGTTCATGGTTATATTTTAGATTATATGGATCAATTTACAATAATGCCCTCAATAATATATATATATATATATATATATATATATATATATATATATATATTATGTGTGTATTTATTTATATCTATGAATGTATATCAAAGCTTAAATATTAAAAAAACTAAATATATAAATATACACATATGTATATTTGATTATATAAACATATATTATTATTATTATTATTATTATTATTATTATTATTATTATTATTATATAAGGATTAGTTAACAAGGGCAAAGTTGGAATAATTCAAGGTAATCTAATATTACCTAAAAAAAATGGGGGTAATCACATTACCTTGAAACATTACCGCCACATCAGCTTTGAGGTAATATAACATTACCTGGTAATCTCATAACTTGAACCAAACAAGGTAATATAACATTACCAGACTCAGATTACCTAGGTAATCTAAGATGACCTGAACCAAACGCCCCCTAAGATGGATGCTCTATTTATACTAAGTGGCAAGCCGATAAAATGATGACAAGTTAGTGACAAAGCTAACGCGGCGTCTATCAATTGGGCACTCGAGTCAGTCATAACACATGTAAACTGTAATGTGATGGCTGGTGAAGTGATAAGTCTAATAGCAATGATTGGAAAATATGTTGCTATCAAGATTGAGAAGTCTGTTGATATTAAGATAAAAAAAAAGCTTTTAATATCGAGATCATGAAGCCTTTTTATATTAAAATCATGAAACTTATTGATATCGAGATCGAGAAGCCTATAAATATTAAGGCCAAGAAATTTCATACTATCAAAACTGATAAGCTTATCTATATTCAAATAAAAAAGTCTGTTAAAATCAAAATTGAAAACAAAAAAACCCCACAAAATACAATACATAAATTATCAGTGCTGCTTTCTAACCCATCAAAATTAAAATACGGAAACACATATTTTAAGTTTGGGATAAATTGTCACGGCATTAACCTATTACCTGCTATGCGAATTTGGACGTGATGATGCCTGCAGGACACAGGAGGGTATGGTACCCTCTTTATTGTGTTTTGAACCAACTCGTTGCCACATTAATTTTAATTTATTTTTCCTAACTGCAAATTAAACACTTTTTTTCAGGTTAACGGCAAGCTGCTGCCGTGTTATCCGGAATCCTGTACCCTTCATGGAACAAAAGATGGTTTAATTTGTTTACTAACTCCAATAATCCTTTACATTATTATATCAGAAGCATGCTAATGCTTTACTCAGTGGGATTAGATACCAAATGTCATGTTTAAGATTTCCCAGGTTGAAGTTGTCGCTAATGAGGGACAAATATGCTCCTTGAAATTAACGATGTAACAGAAAGCCCTTAGAAAATTAAATGGTACTTATATCCCAAATGGATTAAGTTACTAAAAAAATTATCAATTTTGATCACACGGATATTAATAAAATTATGGTTTTGATTCATATGTTTAATTATTTCTACTAATTTTTATACATAACAATTGTTTTAGTATCAATTTTCATTCATAACTATTATTTTAGTGCAAAAATTTATCATGTCGGTCACCCCTCTGTTTGAAACATGCCGAAATTTAACATTCTAAAGAGTATTTTTTTCATCTTCAACTTAAGATCCCAATTTAAGCATTCTAACGAGTATTTTTGTCATCTTGTCCTTATAATAATAATAATAATAATAATAATAATAATAATAATAATAATAATAATAATAATATTTGCGGTGAAAGTTGCGGATAAATGAGAAGAGAAAATGATTTTAATTAGGAAGGGTAAATGATGTCATTTCTTTAAAATAATAAGGGCAAAGATGTACAAAAAAAAAAGTTAGGAAGCTAAGCTACTAGCTTATTTTGAAACGATACCTAAGATAGCGGCTCTGTTTGACAAACCTAGCTGAAAAGCTATAAGCTAGGAGCTGGTAGCTGAAAATGAGCTGAAAGCTGAAAAGCTATGAGTTCGGAGCTGAAAATTGAAGAGCTGTTAAGCTAGTTGTTATGATTGAAAGTGTTTGGTAAAATTAGCTTTTTGATAAGCTGATAAATGTAAAAAGACTAAAAAGGACATCTTCATAAAATTTAAATTAGTTTGTAATCTGGATGCTGCTCAAGCACATTAAACATCACGTCATCTTGTGAATTCTTCCGAATATAATTATGTAGTGCAAATGTGGCCATAATAACATTAATTTGGGGCTCCTCACTAAACTGCGACATTTTAACAAGTATCTTCCATCTCTTATTCAATACTCCAAACGATCTCTCAATACAACTTCGAAGAGAAGAATGTGCACGATTGAATGCTTATTGAGCATTAGTTGGCGGCTCTTGTTCAAATTGAGATTGAAGCCGTATTGCTAATCTAAAAATAACATTAATAATAATAATAATAATAATAATAATAATAATAATAATAATAATAAGCTAAAGTTTCAACATAATTGTTTAGCAGGAAACAAAACTAAGGAAGGGATTGACGTGAAAGTTGGGAAAGGGGAAGAGAAAGGGTTTTAATTCATAAGGTTAAAATATGTCATTACTTTAAAATAATAAGGGTAAGGATGGAAAAAAAAGTTAGGAAGCTAGTAGCTTATTTTGAAATGCTACCTAGGCTCTGTTTGGCAAACCTAGCTGAAAAGCTATAAGCTAGGAGCTGATATCTGAAAAGGAGCTGAAAGCTGAAAAGCTATAAGCTCGGAGCTGAAAATTGAAGAGCTGTTAAGCTAGCTGTTATGATTGAAAGTGTTTGGTAAAATTAGCTTTTTGATAAGCTGATAAATGTAAAAAGACTAAAAAGGACATCTTCATAAAATTTAAATTAGTTTGTTTACATATTAAAATTTAACATTTCGTTTTCCAAAAAAAGTAAACACTTTTTAAAATAAAACTATTAGCATGATCATGATCTAGCATCCCATAATGAAGTAGCAATATTGTTGCGAATCTCCTTCATCTCCATAGAGGTGTGACTTAAATTTTCGTTGATGGAGATATTGCTAATTTTTTAATAATAATAATAATAAGCTAAAGTTTCAACATAATTGTTTAGCAGGAAACAAGACTAAGGAAGGGATTTACGTGAAAGTTGGGATAGGGGAAGAGAAAGGGTTTTAATTCATAAGGTTAAAATATGTCATTACTTTAAAATAATAAGGGTAAAGATGGAAAAAAAGTTAGGAAGCTAGGAGCTTATTTTGAAACGCTACCTAAAGTAGCGTTCCAAAATAAGCTCTTATTTTAAGCTAGGAGCTTATTTTGGGAACATTACCAAACAGAGCTTATAGCTTATTAGTAGCTTAAAATAAGCTATAAGCTCCTAGCTTAGCGTTGCCAAACAGAGCCCTAAAATAGCGTTCCAAAATAAGCTCTTATTTTGGGAACATTACCAAACAGAGCTTATAGCTTATTAGTAGCTTAAAATAAGCTATAAGCTCCTAGCTTAGCGTTGTCAAACAGAGCGCGTCTCAAAATAAGTTCTTATTTTAAGCTACGAGCTTATTTTGAGAACATTACCAACAGAGCTTATATCTTATTACTTATTAGTAGCTTAAAATAAGCTATAAGCTCTGCCAAATAGACTCTACTTTTATTTTTCTTTATGATTGCATTAGGGTGACTCAGCCACATCTTATATATAATTTTTATTTTTATTTATTTATTTGTTTTTCCTAAATTTGGAAAATTTTAAAGGGAAAATGTACAAATAGACTATTGAACTATTTGAAGGATATCAATTAAGCCATCGAACTCGAATAAGCTCCAAATTCATCCATTAACCTGTAAAAAATAGCAATTAACATTTTTAGCAAATTAACAACATGTTTATGCTGATTTGGTATGTTTGTGAACGAGTAGAATGAAGCGCTCGTAGGTTAGTCGGTCGATATATCAGGCAACGACTGAGCGATCCGAGGCTGAGTAGTATTATTACAATTAATAAGTAGTAGGTTACAATGTAGTAAGTAGTGTTTGTAATCAGATGGAGATGAAGATATGAGGATGAGACCCTCCTATTTATACCGTCTAAGTCGGTCTACGCATTTAATGCGCCTGCTGCAAGTGGATCGACGTGGCTTCTTCTCATTGGCTCAGTCAGGTGGTCGCTCTGCAATTACGCGTAGGTTGACTAATCGATGAGGCGGAACTGCTACTTTTGCAGGTTGTCAGCGGCCGCCCTGCAGGCGCAAGTTGACCCTTATAACTTGTCGTGTAAGTTACGTCTTCGGCTCTGTAGGATACGTCATCTTGCAGGCCGATCGGTCACCCTACAGTAAACCGGTCGGGTGGCTCTCCGTCGGGGCGATTCGAGAGTATCTTCTTTTGTCACGAGGCCTATTGATACGAACGGTACAATAGACCACAAGTGATTTAGTCATGTCGGGTTGACGACCGTAACAGACCAGTTGGATAACTTCTTGACGGACCGGCTATGTGTATATTTTATTATTATTATCCTACTAAGCATTTGACCATCTTCTGAACGTCATGTTTTATATTTTATTATATATATATATATATATATATATATATATATATAATTTTCGTACAGTAAAATTACTTAATTACAACGAGTATTTTTTTTTGGTGCCGTAGATGCGAGCATTAGCCGATTCCTTCCTCGTTTCACCGTCGTTTTAGTGTATCTGTTCATTTATCTGCAGTTTAATGAAACGAAGATGACTTAATATTTTATTATAGGTTACTTGTGCCGTGTTTTATGGGTATTGTATTCATATATGTTAGGTTGTATATATATAAATATAAATAATATTAATATAATAAAATATAAAACATGACATTTAAGAAGGGTTAAATACTTGGTAAGATATCAAGTGGCTTGTAGTTCATTGGTATCGGGTTATTCCTCTAAGTGGGAGGGGTAAGGGTTGAATTTCAATTGAGGCAATTAGTATGTATATGAATATATGAAATACAATATATACACATTGCATTTAAATTAGTGTATTTTTTTCCTGATGAATTTGAAGCTTATTCGAGTTCGATAATTTAATTGTTAACCCCAAAATAGTTCAATGACTTATTTGCTCATTCTTTTAATTTTAAAATTAAAAATAATAAGAAAAAGAAAAACATTTTTTTTTAATTTTAAAATTTAAAAAAAATAAAAATAAGAAAAAGAAAAAAAAAAAAAAACCAACACCCCGGATACAGTTGGAGAGTTTTGGAGCGTGCAACGAACTCACTCTACGAAGATCATTGAATGCCATCATTCGCATCAGGCAAAGCGCGAGGAGCATTTTTGTGACAAGGCGGCAAGGCTTTGCAGTTACAGAAATTTCAACGAACAAAAGAAGGCACAAAGGAGGAGCTATTCGTCTTCTATGAGAGCAATATGTTCGCTAAATTATTCCAAAAGTTTTCTTCTCCACAGGTAGATTTCTCAAAATCTCGCCCGCATTTAAATTATGATTTTTCTGTGTTAATTTCGTTATAACTTTTCCATATATGATATTGTAATTAATTTTATGCAATTTTCTGCCGTTTCGCCGGAATCGCGTTTCTGAGATTCCAATGATATGAACTTTCAGCAAATTATATCAGCTGATCAGCAAAGTGAAAGAGAGAAAATCGAGAAATGATTTTGTTGTATATGCTGCAAGTCGAATTTTGCTTTTTCCAAGCTCGTGCTTCTGAATTTATCTACTTGATATGGAAATAATTGTTTCGTATGGGCTATATGTGATTTTTCTTCATTTTTTATAATGCGTACAGAACTGTCTTCTACTTGCTTAAATTTCTGCTCAATTTGACTCATGAATATGTCACTTCCTATCTTCTGTTGTAACAGAATGAGCCACGGGAAACTCCAAAACTACCAGCACAAATTGCTGTTCACTATGGGATTCCAGCTACTGCATCTATTCTGGCTTTTGACCCTATTCAACAGCTTTTAGCGATTGGGACATCGTGAGTAGGGAGCTTATTTCAGTGCAGTAGTAGAATAGTATTATCTATGAAGGAACATAGATAAACACCTAATAACACATGGATAACAAGAAGTTTGCATTTTCCTAGTAATTTAATTTATTCACTTGATTGTATTTGATGCTAATGATTTGTCCCAATAAATGAATGTGCACAATGTGTTATATACTGTATATATTTGTACTATATATACTCTGCATTACCAGCCAACCATGATGTCTTTGAGAGAAAGCTTTGAGACATCAAGTCAGCATTTGAATTCACGTAATTAAATGCATAATGATAACCATAACCACCGTATGCATACTATTAGAAACAAATAATGGCTCTCTAAATCTGGTATTGTGTTCAAAATTATTTTGGCTTGATTTTTCCTGATAATTTTAATTCCAGGGATGGTAGGATTAAAGTTGTTGGAGGTGACAATATTGAAGCCCTTCTTGTATCTCCAAAGCCAGCGCCTTTCAAGAATTTGGAGGTTGGTGAGATAAAAGTACTGTGTACTTGTGTAGTGGTATTTTAAGGTCTTTGCTGGAATTATCTTTTGGTATTAATATTCTTAGTTTTTGGGGGTGGGGGCACTGCATGCCTGCACAAGTGTGAAACTTAAAGCTAGTTAATTTCCAATTCCTTAATAGTATGTTTTGTATGATTGAGTCCCTTATTCATCAGTTGATGACTTGTTAGAAAACATAGGATGTCATTGTGAAATTTGTAACAGACCAGGTTCTTTTTCAAGTCTAGAACTTACTGATTTCCTTTATTTACAGTGCAAAACCTCCTTTTGTTTTTGCCAACTAATTATCATTTCTCTTGTGCTTTTTTCTTTTTCAGTTTTTGCAAAACCAAGGTTTCTTAGTGAGCATCTCAAATGAAAATGATATTCAGGTACTTTCCTCTCCAGTCTATGCAATTTGAGCCATAGAGTACTGTTCTCATCAACTGGGTATTCTTATATTGCTTGTGGCCATCTCTTTATCTCCCCACATCCCCACCCCAAGGTTCAAGAACGACAGTATTCTGTTATTACTGACCGCCAGTTTCATTCAAATTCTGTGTTAAACAATAAACTCAACTGTATATTTCTATATGTTCTGTGTGTCAATGTAAGTATAGAGCTATTTATATTAGACAAGAACTAATCCTAGCCATAGATTTCAAACACCTAAAACTAAGGCTAAGAGAGATCCTACCCACTACCCAGTCACCTCAATCTCGCTTTGATACCATGTTAAACAATAAACTCAACTGTATATTTCTATATGTTCTGTGTGTCAATGTAAGTATAGAGCTATTTATATTAGACAAGAACTAATCCTAGCCATAGATTTCAAACACCTAAAACTAAGGCTAAGAGAGATCATCTCAACTAAGACCCTATTTCTCTAACATTCTGCAGGTCTGGGATCTGGCAAGCAGACACTTATCTTCAAAATTAAAGTGGGAATCAAACATAACTGCATTCTCTGTTATCTATGGCACTCATTACATGTAAATGGGTAGTGAAAAATGATTTAATTTATTTTTACTCCATCCAAAAATCTTATGTCATTTATTCGTTCCCTAACCATGTTTTTATTCTACAAACAGGTATTTAGGGGATGAATATGGATATTTATCTGTGCTCAAATATGATGCAGGGGAAAGAAATGTTGTACAATTGCCATATTATGTGCCTCCAAATCTTGTAGCTGGTAATAGGGCTACTTGATTACTCATCTACATTATGTACTTGAATAGAGCTTTTTATTCTGGAAATTTCATCCAACAGCTAGGACCTGGTGTTTGTTTTAGCAACTTTCATAAATCTTCAATTTCTTTGGTCTGGACAGCTGCCTTCATTTTTTCTCAGGGTTGGGAGTGAAACTTCTTGTACTTTACCATTGTTAAAAAAATAAAAGAATGTATGAATTGATGCAATTTTTACATTTTCATTCACTCGTGCTCTAATTTTGTTTGATTTTCAGAAACAGTTGTGAGTTCAATGCCCGACCAACTATCTATTGTTGGGTTGCTTCCCCATCCTTGTTCATTTGGAAATAGGTAAGAAATAATAAGTTTTCCTTTTCATGATTTTCTGGTTTTGAAAATGTTTATATATGGAGTGCTAATTTGGCAAGCTTGCCATACACTTGATCAAGTTTTACTGTTTTAAAGCAGCATAACTTCTTAATCTTTCCTTCTCTATTTGTTTACAGAGTCCTAATTGCTTATGAAAATGGATTACTTATTCTCTGGGAAATTACAGAAGATAGAGCTGTTTTTGTTAGTAGTCAAAACCATCTTCAACCAAAGGAAATTTTTGTTTGTACTCAAACAAACATGAGCACAGTGCATGCAAATGATTCCAAAGATCATGACCAAGAAGAAAAGGAAATAAGTTCCCTTTGTTGGTTGTCCTCTGATGGATCAATTCTTGCTGTTGGTTATGTAGATGGTGACATTTTCCTATGGAACTTATCTGTGCCAGACTTTAGCAAAAGCCCTAAGACTGAAAATCTGTCTAACAATGTTGTTAAGTTGCAACTATTATCAGGAGACCGAAGGCTTCCTGTTACTGTTTTGGATTGCTCTGCTAACAAATCTCAAAACAGTTTAAGAGGCTACCTTTTTGTCTATGGTGGTGGTGAAATTGGAGCTGAAGAGGTTTTGACGGTATGCACCATTCTAACGTAATCTCTCACTCGTCTTATATTGCCTTATGTATTAACTTCTATTTAGAAATATAGCTAAATCTCTCATCGCCTTCCTTAGGTCAAAACATGTTGCATTGTGCATAAAAATTTAGCTTTACCAGCCAAATTTGTAGGCAGTCTGCCCAAAGACTAGAGTATTAATGGGAATAATGGGTGATATCTAGTTAGAAAATAAAAAAGAATTGGAAGTCATCATTTGTTTTCCCTGCTAAACTAAGGAAGAATAATAAAGGTTGAATTTCTATTGGATGTGTTCTATGGAGTATTTTGTTTTGAAACTTGTAACTTGTCATCTTATTCTTCCCCTTTTTAAATGCTATGCTTGCAATTCAACTATATGAGAAATGTTGTTGCATTTAAAGGAATGAAATCAGGAGTTTCTCTATCATTGACAAAATGTATTTGTTTGACAGATCCTGAAACTTGATTGGTCATCTGGACTTGCAGCACTGAAATGCATCGATAGAGTAGACCTTACACTTAGTGGATCATTTGCTGATATTATTACTGTACCAAGTCCTTGTGATACAGAGAATGACAACAGTTCACTTTTTATATTGACAAATCCCGGAGAGTTGCATTATTATGATAAAACTAGCCTGTCTACCTTGAAATCTGAGCCAGAGAACAAGCATAATGCTCACAGCATTCAATACCCAGTGGCCATACCTACTCTCAACCCATGCATGACTGTGGCAAAATCATGTTCTATGGATAGGAAATGGAATTTCTCACGAACTTCCTCAAAGGTGCTAAATACTAATCTTTATTTTGAATTATCATTACTTATAAATAATGCTTTATTGTAAATCTGAACAATGAAGACTTCATTGTGTGGTTTTTCAAAATTTTGTTGTCAAATGCTTTCTTTAGCCAGTTACGATCACAATAGTCATTGTACTGTGCAGTCTAAGAATGAAGAGGAATCAAAGTGGCCTCTAACTGGTGGTGTTCCTAGTCAATTGTCTTTAACTGAAGATAATGGTGTTGAGAGAATACACATAGCAGGATATCAAGATGGATCTGTCCGAATCTGGGATGCCACATACCCAGTTTTGTCACTTATGTTTGTTATCTCATCTGAGGTCTGTACAGTGTTTCAAATTAGTTGAGCCCCCTAACATGTAAATATTGAATAGGTATTATTTTCAGCTAAAGATTGTTCAAGGGTTCACCTATTCATTAATTGACTAGTTGATGCTCACAGAACACTGAAAATATAATTAACAGGTGAAGGGCATTGAAAGCACTAGTACCAGTCCAGCAATATCAGCTCTGGATTTCTCCTCCAGTTCTTTGAGTATTGCTATTGGCAATGAATATGGCCTAGTAAGACTCACATCATTCTGTACTGTTACATTTCACTAGCCTACTTCTATATCTTGACCAAAGGGACAGTCTGATTCTTTTATTCATGTAGGTTCACCACTACATGTTTGGTACCAGCTCTGGCTCTGAGAAAATAAGCTTGCACTTTGTTACAGAAACCAAAAGTGAAGGTGTGGTGTGCTTATAATTGATTATCTGTCACTATCCTTGTGCTTAAATTTTGAGAATAAAAACAGACAAGAGACAACAGAATAAGAGTTCTATAAACTGTGTGTTAAAGAAATTCAAGAAATTTATACCTCTTTGATTATTATTAAGCCTTGACTTTAAGCTAATCCATAAGGATGGCAATAAAAGATATGATAAACAATAAGATTGCATAGATCAGATTTAACACTAAGTTTTTCAGGAGCCAGTTGTCTGCAGATTCATTCATCTATTTCATCAATGTCTCAGGGTGTAAACAATTACTGTTTTAATTGATAAACTCTTGCCTAGAAAATTTCATTGACTAGAATGTAGAAGGTTGTCTGATAGGAGCTTTGGAGGCTATCACTGAAGTTGAAGTTATATTCTCTTACATAGTTTATGTAAATATTTACTAGAGATATATAGTAACCATAACAGAGATGTACTTTTGGGATGTGCTTATATTTTTTCTTTATATATATTTCTGATTTCTGATGCTTTCAGCATATTGGTGATCGACGTGTTTCATTTTCAGTTCACTCTTTCCCAAGTGGGGCTGGGTATCAATGCAAAGCTATCTTTTCACTTCTCAATTCCCCAGTGTGCATCCTGAAGTACATTGCTTCTGGGTCCAAACTTATTGTGGGGTTCGAAAGCAGCCAGGTAAAAGATCTGTTTATACAGTGCTGAAGGTTCTAGTAGAAAATAAGATATGCACATTCCTCATATGCTAAGTTGTGTATTAGTGCAATGGATCTTGTCAGCCGCTGAGATTTGTTTTGCCCTGTTACAGGTTGCTGTACTTGATGTTGATTCACCATCAGTTTTGTTTCTTACAGACTGTGTTTCTAGCTTAAGGTCTCCAATCACTTCTCTTTCTGTGAAGACATTTCCAGGTATCCGTCAGAACATTCTGAACCCTGAATGTTCAACCTCATATGAAGTTGCAGAAGAGCTTGCTTTTGCCTTGACCAGAGATGGACACATAATTTTAATGGATAGCAACACTGGCAATGTGATTAATTCTCAGCCAGTACATCCAGAGAAACTGACAACTTCAGTTTCTTTACATATCCTAGGTAAGTATTGGCTCCTTCAATTGTTTGATTAAGTACAGCTATAATACGTCTTTGTATAATTCTTTATCATTTCCTTGTATTAGCAGAGAGCAATACATCTTTTGACAAAGAGTCTGACAAGCATCCATTGTTCAAGGATATTGAAATTAAAGATCAATCAGCGCAATCTGGTGACCATGATCCCATAGATCCTTTGAAGCCTTCTCTAATGCCTAATGCTACAGATGCCCAGATTTTGGTTTGCTGCGAGGATATTTTATATTTGTTCTCTTTAAACTCTGTTATTCAGGTGCCTTTCTGTGTTAACCTCTGCAATAACTATAATCATTGTTATTCTTTCTCTAGTTGTGATTGGTGGAATAATCACAGGGTAATAACACTACTCTCCATGAAGTGAATCTTGCTAAACCTTGTTGTTGGACTGCTTTGTTCAAGAATGATGGTAGAGAATATGGATTGATCTTAGTATACCGGACTGGAGATATTGAAATCAGGTAAACCCTATTAGTTTCTGATTGTTAATGCACCTTGTTCTAATGATTATGGTAAAGTCACTGTTATAATGTTTTCTTTTTTTCCCTAAATGTTCTGAGATTTATTTCATGGTCTTTGTATCTCTTGATGCATCATTCTGGATAAATGTATAATGTTTTGATCCACAATCACATCTCTGGCAGGTATTTGCCAGATCTTAAATTGCTGGGAGACACATCACTATTGTCAGTACTCAGGTGGAGCTTCAAGACAAATGTGGAGAAGACAATTAGTTCTCCCAGTAAAGGGATTATTTCACTGGTTTGTAGTTTTCTACTTCTCTCTTCTGATATGTTCTCACTTAGTTAAGATTAATTGTTTGGTTATTCTCCTCTTATTATTTCTTGGCAATGTATTTTCTATATAATCTTTTTGAGATTTGTGAGTCATCCATTATAGTGATTGGCCACCCCTATTCTTCTCCCTTCAAAATATTTTGCTAAGTGGCATCCTGGCCTTGCAGGTCCATGGGTGTGAATTTGCCATTTTGGCATTGTGCTCTGGAAAGGACTTTAGGTCTCTCTCTGATCTCACACTTCCCTTTGTAAGCACTAATCTTGTTCAGAATTGTGATGGATGATGAGCAACTTTTTTTTTATAGGATTCCAGAGGCGTTGCCTTGTCTTCATGATAAAGTCCTTGCTGCTACAAAAAATGCAGCTGCTTGTCTAACCCAAAATCAAATGAGTAAAAAGGTTGTGGAATATAAGCACCTTATTATTCTCTATTTCTTGGCAATTATATAATTTGTTTTGCTTTTCTTGTCAGACTACTGTCAACAGTATGATTGCTGATTTCTTTAAGGGGCTTAAAGGGGAAAAAGGAGAGCAGGATATTGATGATACTGAAACTCGGGAAACTTTTATTGCACATCTAGAGAAAATATTTTCTAGGTTTCCTTTCTCAGACCCTCTTACAAATGTAATGGATGACCAAGGCAACTTGGAATTAAACTTAGGTATTTGTATCCCTCTTAATGCTACACAGTATTTGTATCCCTCTTATTATCTGTTTCTTTAAAATATCATTTGCTTCACTGAGTATTTGTTAACTATTTCTATACTTTGTGATACAGATGATATTGAGATTGATGATCCCATTCCCATATCATCGTCATCTCATCAGAGCAATACTAGCAAACAAGGTTGTTAGGGCATGTTATTTATTTATTTATTTTATATCCTGTAACTGTTTAATTCCCTAATCTATATTTACATGCTCCTTCCAGTCTAAATCCCTTATCAAACTAATATTTGTTCTGATGATTCAGAAAATGAAAGACAGCGACAAAAGCTATTTGAAGGTGGGTCCACTGAAACTAAACCAACACAAAGGACACGTGAAGAAATCATTGCCAAGTATAGGAAAGGGGTAATTTAAGTTGATAAACTTTCTGATAACAATGAAATGTTTATAGTTTGTTGAAACTGCATTTCCCAACTATGTTGTTACTTGTAGGATGCCGCCACTGCTGCCTCTGCAGCAGCAGAAGCAAGAAATAAGCTTCATGAGCGCGGGGAGAAACTTGAGGTATGTCCAATTTGTAGTTCTATATATGCACAATCGTTTATAATGATGCTATTGACTCATTTCATCCTAGATTCATATTTTCCCTTATAAACTGGCCTCTTATAGCCTCCATTTCAGATTCAACATCTTTGATTTGCATAAATGATAAAACAAAGCATGCTGCAAAATCTTTCATGCTATCTTAAGCAGCGATTGGTTTGGATTCCACAATAACTGGATTTCCGGTTGTTGGTTTAAATAACTAGAGGAGATAATACTCGATTTTAGGTGAATTTCAAAACCAAATAAATGCTTCAAAGACCACCATTTGTTGTGTTACCTGCAGCAACTGAGTGAACGAACTGCAGAGCTTCAAAGTGGGGCAGAAGACTTTGCATCATTGGCAAAAGAGCTGGCCAAGAAAATGGAGAAACGAAAATGGTGGAACCTCTAAAGCCATTGCTGTCGATTAAGCTGCACGTGACGAGAGTTGGTGTACATACATATCATATACATATGCTTCAATTAGTACCGTTTTAATTATCTCACAAAACATTGAACTTACTATTCTGGAGATGATGCGTTTAGTGATGCAACGCTGAAGCCATCAGGTGAGAGGACGGAGTCAATGAAGAAAGTCAAAGCCATACCGTGACTGTAATGACTTGTGCATGGCCGGCAGTTTGAACTTTGAAGGTAAGAACAAGCTTGTGTTGGAATTTATTATGTAAAAGTAAAACACAAACAATAAAATAAAAATAAAATCCAAGTCAAACTTTTGAATTCTACATTATTGTGTAATAGGTTTATTATTATTATTTTTCTTTTGTCCCAAAGTAGTAGTTAAGGGTTACGAGTTATGACGGTGAAGTATAGGATCTGGCGATCTGCGGTTGAAATTGAATATTCTAATTAGAATGCGTGTTTCAGTTAGGTCCATATTATTTGGTGCATTGTAGTGCGCAGTCACATGCAGGGACTGTTGCAGCAATCATTATTGGATGGACCATGGTCTACACAATGGTGTGGACTATAAATAAAAAATATATTTTTAATATATTAAGAGTACATTATTTATGTACATACGATGCATTTTTGAAAGTATATTTTTAATATATTAAAGGTATATTATTTTATATAATGTATTTTTAGTACAAAAATAATGTACTTTTAATATATTAAAAATATAACTGATATTTATGGTTCACACAATTGTGTGGATCATGGTCCACACCATAATTTGCCCTGTTTGCAGAGATAATGAGTTGTATGAAAGAATGAAACACAAGTTGTATGCAGCTCGATATTAAATACATTTTCGAGAATAGTCATGGTATATACGTCGTTCATTGAATTCGTACATTTTTAAACTACTTATTAATGACTTCCATGTTCAAGATGACTACTCAGGGAAAACCATGCAAGCCAATTCTGACCACGTAACTAGAATCCATCTTCTCGTTTTCAGGTCAATGTGTAAAAATCCCAAGATAAAATATTACGGAGTATAAACCAATTAATGAGTTTATTAATAATTGAGATTATTAATATGGATATCATAAATTAAATTTAATTTTAATCCATTGTTATAAACATATGTCATTTACATAATATTTATTGTGAACATCTCGTTTGACGAGACATCTTATATAACGCGACAAGGTATTATTAGAAGACACTGTGAATATTCCGCCAAGTACAAAAAATTAATCTTGTTTACTTCATATTAGAATGAGACAAATCAATATGAACATCATAAATTAATTTAAATATTAATCCACCATTATATAAAAATATGTATCAGTATTTATTATAGACGTAATTGAACACTTTGTTTGACGAGACACTTTACATAATGTGGTGAAGTATTATTAAGAGGAAAATTATTACGTGGACCCTTAAGTTTTATTCACACCCTCAAATTATTGAAAACATTTTTTGGGATTCACATAATGAAAATAATTTATTATTGTCTATCACGAAAGTAAAAGTAAGGAAATAAAAATTGAGAGGAAATGTACTAGAACAAAATACAGTATTGTGTGGCCAGAAGATTTGACAAATTCGTGTTATGTATATAAAATATTAGCAGAGTACCTAACAACCATAAATGTGGAAATTGTTTAATACTTGTTATTGCAAAACTTAAGCAGCCGGTCAAGCAGTTCTGTATTGAATCTTTGTATGAACAACGAGGAGATAAAGATAAAAGATCTAAGGGTCTATTTCTAAACTAAAAAAAATAAAAAATTAATCCACACGGAGAAAGAAGGCAATAAATAACATAAAAATTGGATCTTTCAAATCCTCGCACACGAAATTCACGTTCCCATTATATTCTAAGCTGCGAAGGAGAGGAAGAGGGCGGGGAATGTTTCCTGTCGTCTCCTTTATATATAAACAGAAGCAGTAGGTGAGAGAAAGCAGAGTAGCAGAAAATCTTGGATCATCCCTCTCTCTCTCTCTCTCTCTCTCAATTCAAGAATCTTTGATTTGTTTTTGGACTGATAAGCTCTGGTTCTAGAGAACCCAGAGCTAAAAGCCTAAAAAGTCTTGATTTTTGTCTTGGGAGGGAGCACTGTAATGGCGAGTTGGGTGTTATCAGAATGTGGTGTTAGGCCACTCCCACGGGTCTTTCCAAAACCTAGGGCTGTTTCAGCTTCTACCCATTCTCTCAGCTTACCAAAGCTGAAAGCTTTGGGAACAGATCTTGGTGGCTCTTCGTTTTCATTGCTGGGGATTAAAGAGAGGAACTGGGCATTGAGGGTGAGCGCACCAGTGAGGGCTCCATTGCTGAGTGAAGAAGAGAGGGAGGGAATGAGTATTGGGAAAGATGAAGAAGAAGAAGTTGAAGTTGAAGGGTTTGATCCTGGGGCACCCCCACCCTTCAAGCTGTCTGACATTAAAGCAGCAATTCCTAAACATTGCTGGGTTAAGGACCCATGGAAGTCCATGAGCTATGTGGTTAGGGATGTTGTGGCTGTGTTTGGATTAGCAGCTGTGGCTGCTTATTTCAACAATTGGATTGTTTGGCCTCTTTACTGGTTTGCTCAAGGAACCATGTTTTGGGCTCTTTTTGTTCTTGGCCATGACTGGTACTCATTTTTCTTTTTCTGTTTTTTACCATTTCATGTTCTAGTTGTGGGTTTTAAGTTTATTTGTGAACTCTGCAGTGGCCATGGAAGCTTTTCAAGTAACCCTAAGCTGAACAGTGTGGTTGGGCATCTCCTTCATTCTTCAATTCTTGTCCCTTACCATGGATGGTTTGTTCTCTCTCTCTCTCTTTCTCAAGTGTAATTACAATTGTGCATTTTGTAATGCTTGATTTTGCATTCGTGGATAACTGATTGTACTGTTTGCATTCTCTCGGGAGGAGGGTAGTTCTCATGTGATCCTGCCCCTATACATACATATATATATATATGTGTGTGTGTGTGTGTGTGTGTGTGTGTTTAACTTAATATGATAATGGTGCAGGAGGATTAGTCACAGGACTCATCATCAGAACCATGGCCATGTTGAGAACGACGAATCTTGGCACCCAGTAAGACACATTGATCTTGCTATCCATTTGCTCTTAATTTAGTTTTGTATTTGCCTTTTCACTAAAATTTTAGTAAATTATTGCTTCAATATAACATTCATGTTCATTCATATCAGATAACCGAGAATCTTTTCAACACTCTGGATGATGTAACAAAAAAATTAAGGTTCACGTTACCATTCCCCTTACTCGCATACCCTATCTATTTGGTAAGCAGTCCTTTTCTTTTCCTTTCTGTTTCCATATGTTATTAATCTTTTATTATCTGTTATTAAAATATGGCGTAGAAATTCATGTGTTATTAATCTACTTGCAGTGGGGTAGAACGCCTGGGAAAAAAGGCTCTCATTATCATCCAAACAGCGATTTGTTTACTCCATATGAGAGGAAAGATGTGATTACCTCGACGTTGTGTTGGACAGCAATGGTTGCGGTCCTTGTTGGATTGTCGTTTGTGATGGGACCTGTCCAATTGCTCAAACTCTATGGAGTTCCTTATATGGTTAGTCTTTATATTTTTTGCGAAGCACAATTAATCTCCTTTTTTTTCTCCCGTTCCCAATTGATTGAGTGTTTTGTTTCCGAAATGTAGGGTTTTGTAATGTGGCTGGATTTAGTTACCTATTTACATCACCACGGCCACGAAGAAAAACTTCCCTGGTACCGTGGACAGGTAAGAATTTTGGTTTCCATATCTTGAATTAAAATGTCAGCATAATTGTATAAACCACATTGGATTCAACAGGAATGGAGTTATCTTCGGGGTGGGCTTACTACTCTTGATCGGGACTATGGATGGATTAACAACATCCATCACGACATCGGGACTCATGTGATACATCACCTCTTCCCTCAAATACCCCATTATCATTTAACAGAAGCTGTAAGCCCCTCCCTCGTGTTCTAATCAACATTTTCTGTTTTTTTTTTTTTTCTGCCACGACTTTCTTGTAGTGCTGATTGTTGAGCATATAGTCATTAATGTGCAATCTAACTATCAGCTTAGGCTTTTAGTTGAGATGGAGCACATGGTTTAATTTGGTATCAAAGCCAAACCAAAGGGTCATGCGCCACCCATAAGTGACTACGGTCCACGTGTTGCTTAGAACCCACCGCACACGTGAGGGGGCGTGTTGAGCATACAGTCATTAGATGGAGCACATGGTTCAATTCTGATATCTTATCTATCCTCTTGAATTGTTTCGGTGGTTTTTGCAGACTGAAGCAGCGAAGCCTGTGCTTGGAAAGTATTACAGGGAGCCAAAGAAATCGAGCCCTCTCCCGTTTCATCTGCTGGGAGACCTCATAAGAAGCATGAAGACCGACCACTATGTAAGTGATACTGGGGACGTCGTATATTATCAATCTGATCCTGAGCTGTCTGGATCTCTGAAGAAAAATTGAACTTTCTGTCAAAGATGGGGTCGCGGGTAAATTTTTAATTTTTTTTTTTTAGTTAATTTTTACCGCTATTGAGGGAAATACCTCAGCTAGATTAAATTCATTTTTCCCATCCAGAATGTGAAGGGATATAGGTTCAGTATTGATAAACAATATATAGTGATTGCTAAATTTAGCTGTTATTTTTGTTGTTTTATAAGTATTTGGTGATCTGGTGATTCTTGAATGATACTATGAAAACTCTGCCACTATTTTATGATGGGAGATTGCCCACAAAATGACAGGAAAAAGAAAAAGAAAAACTGTAATGAAAACAAGGTTTCATTTTCAGTGATTATGTTACTCTTGCCCAGCTGTGATATTGATGCCATGTAAGAGGACAACCTTAAATAAAATGAAGAAATAATTGATGGAATGCTGGAAAGCATCATCAACTCATAATGAAGGTACAGTTATAATAAATCATAAGAATCATTAGTTTTGCTAAATAAATAATTATATTCTCATGAAATCTTGGGTGCAAAGGGCGAAATTTCTCGCCCCTATATCTCAGTTTTACAGGAATTATGAAATGAATTAAATCACGGTAACTCACTGGCCATTTAGATGAGATGATCAGTGTTTAGTGTCCACGAGGAGCTACCCCACAAGATAATGCAACTCCCACACTATAGCTGGCAGAACTCAATCATATATTTTTTATTTCTTTCACTCGAGAACCAATTGAGATATTTTTAGTCTTAAAATTTGAGTCCATGAAATCTTGTGTTTTTCTTATCCGAAAATCCACCCAATTATGTTCCTACCTGATCTTCTTTACACCACATGAAAAGTTTTAATATCCCTTATTTAGGAAAAATAATTATTAGGACTGAATGTTCCCACAACCCTTCTCGGTTATCGAGCCCCAAGAGGAGCACCGCCCTTCTCTTCGGCCTCCAGCCCCTAACACCGACTTTGTCTTAATCACGTCACGTCCATTATCCCTCACATCAAAGCACTTGGCACTGTCTCCCTGAACGGCCAACCTGCGACTTCCACGTGGAGGACATACCGGATCCGCGGCATGTGTTCCCTCCACCTTATATGAGGCGCATTTAATACTGAGAAAGAGGCTTTTTCATCTAATCCGCACTAGCTTCCTAGCATCGCCTAACTCAATGTCATCACTGATAGCCCTCATCGCTTCATCCCAAGGGACTAGGCCTATACGGCTATACCCATCCTTAGTTCCTTGAATATCCAACTATCCAAGCATACAACCAAGTTCAAGGACTAATGGCTCTAACTAAATGTCTAATATTGTAATTTCTCCCATCCCATCTTGTTTTATATGTTTGATTCAATTAATCATTTAATCAACACCTTTAATTTTATGTATTATTTAATTAAACATTAACTATATTAAAAGTTTTATTAAATTTAAAAATTATATTATGAAAACTCTGCCACTTCTTTATGCTGGTTGTGGACCACTGAGAATAGTGACAAACTGTTCCAATTTCAAAATATGATGGGAGATTGCCCACAAAATGCCAGGAAAAAAAAAAAAAAAAAAAAAACTGTTGTGAAAACAAGGTTTCATTTTCAATGATTATTGGAACTGTTACTCTTGCCCAGCTATGATATTGATGCCATGTCAGAGGATAACCTAAATAAAATGAAGAAATAATTGATGGAATGCTGGAAAGCTCATCAACTCATGAATCATAATGAAGGTACAGTTAGAATAAAGCATAATAATCATTAATTTTGCCAAATAAATAATTATATTCTCATGAAATCTTCGGTGTAAAGGACGAAATTCCTTTCCCCACAGTTAGCCTCACAGGAATTATGAAAGAATTAAATCACAGTAACACAGCAATCCTTTATATAGGAGGACCAATTGTTCACAAGAAATTACGGAGTACTTCACCAGAGGATGGAACTTCTACACTGCAGCTATCAGGACTCAATCATGCGTCCTTGGGTGCGATCTTATGAAATTGAGTCCATAATCTTGTGTTTTTCTTTATCTAAAAATCCATCCAATCATGTCCCATCCCAGACACAGTTGGTACACAAGAATGAACATTCACACCTGATTTTTGGAGTAATTTCACCACAAACCACCAACATGAATGCCATTGCACTAATGTAGACTGTTTTCAATAATGTTCATTCAACATGTTCTAATTGTCCAATCATGTTGCACCTTTTTGAGCAGAGCAAGTGAACTAAAATGAGAAATAATCTATGTAAATAATCTTGCACTCTTTATATAAGAATGACTCAAAGACCCTTTATATAAAGACTTAACTCTTAACTCACTTCTGCTCATACTCTAACACAAACTGTCTGTTTACAAGTAGTAATTTCATCTAACAACGTACAGAATTCACTGCATTCATGAAGGAGAGTATCTGCAACTTATCCTTTTGAATCCCATCCGGAGCACAAATGCCGCTGCTGACATCAACTCCATGCGGTTTTAGAGTAGAAAGCGCTTCACATACATTCCCGGGGTAAATCCCTCCAGCCAAGAGCCACCCATATTTACTTCTGGTCGGAGGGAGCTTAAAGCGTGCCCAATTGAATCCTTTACCACTGCAAAGTAAATATATTTTTCATTTAACCAAAAAAAAAAAAAAAAACTTAATTTCACCAAGCTGTTCAGTAACTCTGCAAATTAAGAAATTTCAGGTTTGACCAAACACAAAAAGCATTCTTCTTGTAAATATTAAGTTGTTGAAATGTCTATGGTATATTGGTATGAATAAATTCACAACGCAATTTATAGGTTAATTAACAAAAGACAAATCAAGCATTTCATCGACCAATTCAGTAAGTAGTGTAACAAAACTCGAAACACAAGAACACCCGAGCAGTTACTTAAAGTTGGTTCCTATCCAATCTTTCTAAGATGTAGTGAATTGGCATGAAAACTTGAGAGCATAGAAATAGTAGGATTTGCTGATACCTGCCGCCTTTGGCACTGTCAACTAGAACCCAATCAACCATAGAAGACGCTTCATCAGAAATAGTGTTCAAAAGTTCTCCATCTTCATTTGCATGAAGAACATATATTACTTTTTTTTCCTTCACTAGAAACGGGAAAACATCTCGTGAACCAGTCCCATGAAGCTGCACCGTTTTTACATGTTATGTGCTGAAGAAGAACAACTAAGTAATCTAAGAAGGAAATTCATATACACGAGCTATTTACCTGAACCAATTCAAGGTCTGCTGCATCAGATGCTTTCAGTATTGTATCAGCATCATCATCTACAAAGACCCCAACAGGCTTTGCTCCATATTCCCTCGCAACTTTTGAAATTTCCTTTGCAACGGTTAGTGAAATAGAACGCTTTGAGTTAGGCCATATAATCATACCTATAAAATCTGCACCAGCTTCTGCTGCCAAAGCAGCATCTCTAGCTGATGTAATTCCACACATTTTGACTAAATGTCTTTTCTCTTGTTGCTCATTGTGAGCACATGATACTTTGGTTGACTTCAATATCCATGTTCTGTTCCTTGAGGAAGTTTTGATGCTAGCAGAATGTGTTTCTCTACTTGACAGATCTGCAGAATGAATGAATATACAAGACAACAACTCAATGCATTATGAGCCAGCAAAAATAACAAGTTATCAGTAATTCATATGCACAAATGCACAATGGTCCCAGTTTTACAGAAGAAAACATTCCATAAAAAGGCACTACTAAACATAATTTCACTTTCTTAAAGTATTATGTGCATCTGTTTGGGAAGATAGAGAATCAGGAGCATTCTTTAACTAACAACAGCAATTCCAACATGTTGGATTAAATGCAAACCTTGATGTGCATTGACAAGTTCCTAATACACCCAACTACCCAAGGTTGAAGCTCCTCAAAATTTCCTCCCACCCATTTTTCCAAATAATCCATTAAAGGGCGAAATTTTGGATTTTTTAATTGCTCAACTTGTTGCATTCTTACTAAAATGATGAAGTCGTATGAAAGCCAAAAGAAAAAGAAAAAAAAAAGGCAGATTTGAAAACTTGAAGATTCTTGATTACCTCGCGCGAGCAAGTTATTGATTTCGGGTTTAAGCTGGATCCCCGCATTTAGCCCTGAAAAACAAATTCGCCATCTAGGTAGGAAATGTATTTGCAAGTAACGCTAAACCAAAAAAATGCTTCTATGGGGAAAATTGACAAACACTTAATGTGCATTTCAGGCCACATGTGTATGCTTGTGCAAATGTATATTTAATGAAATGAGAAAGACGCAGAGAGAGTATACCCCCACGAACACATAGCATCTTTCTTCTTCTATGTTAGACAGCCTTCTCTAGACGATTGATTTATGAACCCCAAATACTAAAGGAAAGTATGTATTTGAATTTATGACTAAAGAGGGGTACGAATGATCAAATTTGGAACAAAATTAATAGTTAATACGGTAACTCAGCCCAACAAAGTATTGATTCAACTGAACATGACTAACTCTCACGTTGGAGAGACTCGATCTCTAGTCATTCTTTCAAAATTTTACTTCTATGACCAGTTGAACTACCCATGCGAGCATTAAAAAATCATTTATAATCATATTAAAAGTTGATGATGATGACTCGTCAAAAAAAAAAAAAAGTTAATGATGAAAATTGATAAAGATTAATAAGCATCCTTAAATTTAAATGTATGACTATAGAATTAATAAGTTTTTTTTTTGAAGAAGAAGAAGCAGCAGCTAAGGAGCCGTTTTAATATTTTCAAAATGCATAAGTATGACTAAGGAGTTAAATGAATATTCTATATTTGGTACATATAAAGTGTTCAAAATCATTTATTTAAATATTTAATAATAAATTATTATTATCATTATCTTAATTATTGCACAAAATAGAAAAGAAATGAATTATGTATGAAGTAAACTATACAAAATAATAGAATGGGGGCGGCTAAAGAACCAAAAACATTATCTCTTTTTTTTTTTTTTTTTTGGAAAGACAAACATTTATCTCTAATGACTAGATATTCTACGAATGGGACCCACGCGTATTACCATAGAAAGCGATTGCAGCAATATACGGAGTATAAGTGGATCTTCATTTTCTTCACCTCGTGGGCCGTGGCGGTTGATCAGTTCCAGAAATCAATGACGCGTTTGGGAAGCACATAAATGCTCCTTAAAATATATGTGCGCGCGCACACAATCCCTAAAAAAAAAAAGAAAAAACAGAATTGATCACAACAAAATATATATATATATATATATATATATATATATATATATAATGAAGGTGTTTGGTAAATAATTAACTAATTGTAAAAAAGTATTTAGTAAATTAGTTGATAACCGATTACATATTAAATGACTTTCATAAAAAGTTGATTGAAATTCTTTTTAACTTTTTAAAGCAATAAGTTGTTACAAAAATTAATTCTGATAGAATTAGGTGAAGGATTTTGAGAATTAACATTTACAATCATCCCATGAAACAAGACACAAGAGTGCAACAAGAGATTGTAGAAAACATATTCTCTTAAAATTTTATTTCATATTGTTGATTACATTGGATGATCCGAAGAAAGATTGAATAAAATACAAGAATACCCAGAAACATTTATCTGTTTTTTCTCAAATAAATCTAAAGATCAGTCTGTTCTTCCTATCCATTTCTGTTCCCATCCAACAGGGGGGTGTGTTGGTGTAAACTTTGAACCTACTGACTGGCTACATACATCTTAGAACATATTAGTAAGAATATGAAAGAATATTACTATTTGATTAGCCATGGAGAAAATGCATGGCCACAGAGATTCCCTTAAGCAACCACCTGCTCCTGATCTATGTACATTTGGTCTATCCAGGACGGGACGGAGTCATGAACTCTGCGTTTCTGCTCTGATGACGAAACGTCTTTCACCAACGAATGAACCCACGAGACGTCCGGCTCGTCCGAGTGAGATGACGGGAGGAATGATGTTCGGGTTGAGGCGGGGCTTCCGTTTCGGGTGGCAAACGAGGCAGACTTCTTCAGCTTGTTTAGCTCTTCGCCGTTGAAGCCCCAGTCCAGTTTCCCGTCGGGAGAGCCCCAGTCCGACATTTTGGAGGTCATCAAGGGCGGGGAGTTGGAAGAGCGGGGGATGACTCCACCCCGGTCTATAAAACTGTGGCTGCGTTTCGCGAAGGCAGCAGACCTCGAGTTCATGACTGCGGCTGCGACTGCTGCCGAAGAATCGTATCCATATGTGGGGGCCGCCTTCCTCGCGGGCGAGGATGAGATGTTGGAAGGATAGCTAGCTCGGAGTTGGTTCATGTTTTGGCGGATTTGGAGGCCGGTTGGGGATTGTAGCTGGGAGGTGCTGCTTCTTGCAACCTTTGGGGAGAGACCCTGCAAATGGGACAAGGAAGAATCCCCGAGGGAGCCAAAAACATCATCGAGGTTAGTAGGCTTCAAATCCCCGACCCCGAGCCGGTTGTAATCGCCATTCCAGCGAGATGGAGACGAGAGACCGGCCATCTCTTCGATCAATTGTTGCCTTTGCTGCTGCTGTGTGCGGATACTCTCCAAGCTAAACAATTCCATATCCGGATCCAAATCCCGAGCATTCAAAGCCGTCTTTAGCCTGCTACCCGAAAGCTGTAATGCTGGCGGGATGAAGTTCATCTTGTTCTGCCATGTGTTTCCGCCCATCGGAGACGAGCAAGAAACCGTAGGTGACATAGGCGGGGTTGAACCGAGGGCCAAAGGGCCTAATGTTGCTGTGTCCATTGAACTCACTGAACTAGACTTTGGCGAAGGAATGGCCGAGCCCGTTGAAGCATAGAGTGGGCGTAGCTCCTCGGGCTTGTGAGCAAAGAAGCACACTTTCCTCGAGCATCCGGTCTCGTCCTTACACAGGCGGGTCTTATACTGAGCGGGATGAAGCCAAGACTCAAACACGCCATGGGCAAACTCACAAGCATCTCCCTTTGCACAAGTCCCCTTCTTAAACTCGGGGCACGGGACACAAGTATAGGTATACTTGCTCGGGTCACGCCTCCTCGCGTTCTCCCCGGGATGAACAAAAGGGCACTCGGTCCAGTCATGAGAATAAGCCCTCGAGCAAGGCTTAACCTTGAAACTATACATCCTGAACTCATCACTCCCATATATTCCAGTATTTATATCTGGCAACGACGTATCAATGGGATACTCTTTCTTCTCGCACCCTTCTTTGGGAGGCGCCACCGCTTTCACTTGCTCTTCCTCCTCATCATCAGCAAGCTCAACCTCGCCGCCTCCTTTCAACAACAGCCCCAATGCTCTCCTCTTCAAATTGCTAGACAATTTCTGAAACGGAGCTATCAAGTCACCGGGCTTGTTTCCATTGGCATCGAGAGCGTTAACATCAGCATTAGCGGCAACGAGCAGCTTGGCAACCTCAAGAGACGAGTCGGATCCCCCAGCGATGACACAGTGAAGGGCGGTCGCCCCATCGGAGCCACACGCCATGTTCACATCAACCTTCCCAGTTCCAAGAATATAGTTGAGAACCCCAGTGCTTCCATACATGGAAGCAATTGCAAGGGGGGTTCTCTCCTCCAACCCCATCATCTTCTTTGACCCAATTTTCCTCCCATACCAAAGGCTCAACTCATTAACATCACAACCCTTCTCCTCCACTTCACAAATGAAGCCAGCAACATCATCTGTGGCTGATAATTCAAGCAACTTTGAGCAACTCTTACACAAAATCCCATTTTTCTTCTCCATATCTAAATCAAAAGAGCACAGTTTAGCCTTGGAGCCACTGCACATCAGACCCTGCAAGTTCACAACCACCAAACTCAATTCAGATATCATCCATATAAACCTCAACTCAAATCAAAATCCCAATTTAGAGTGGGGAGGGGGTTTATAAAGGCTCTCCCTGTTCACACAAACCATAATTACTTTGGGTGTTTTTTCAAGATTCAACTAATTGAAGAAAATACACATAACACCTAGAATTAGGTCAATAGATTCAACTACCCATTTCAAAAAAGAATCAAACTTTCACATTTATGTACACATCCATGCAAAAAAAACCTAACCCAAAAACGAAAACACCAAACCATATGAACAAATTCAAATTTATGATAACAAAAAATCCAATCTTTTCTTAACATACCTTGAAATGGGTAAGAATTGTGGGGAAGAAGCTGATTCTTCAGAAGGAATGGGAATGAATGGAATGATTAATGTACGAATGGAGTAGAGCTTTTAGCTTTGAAAATGGTGTGAAGATAGAGAAGAATCGTGGAGGGGGTGGGTTTATAAGGAGAAGGGGAAAGGGGTAGGGGAAGGGAGGAGGAAGGTGTGACTTTTCTTCTCACTGCTTTCTCTCTTGTGGGTTTTCTTGATTTCGCGTTGGTCAAAAGTCAAAGCTTCAAAAGGGTTCTGGGTCCCACCTCACACCTCTTCTGTGTCTTACTGGTTCCCACCTAAATGCAAGTGAAATGCAAATGGGGATGAAATGCGAATGCAAGTGAAATTCAGATGCAAATGCAAATGTAAATGCGGGACAGCGGGAGGGGAGCTGGGAGGAAAATTTATAGTGGGTGGGCTCCACTCCCCTTGTCAGTGCTTCCGTATCGCTATCCAACCGAACCGAGTTAACGGCTTTGTTCGCCGCGCCGTCACTCTTCGGTGTCACGGTAACGGCATCATCATACGGAGTTTTTCCGTCCTACGCCGTCACGTTAACATTGTTATTATCTAAATTTATTCCAATTCTTTTCAAACATGTTTTATTATAGTTTGGAAAGGTTAGGTATTCAGTATTATCAATTTATTGATACTTCTAGACATTGTATTTATAGATTAATTTTTGAGTTTGTGAAATTTATTATAAATCGTATACATACGTAACAGAATGAATCTTACGTTATAAGAATATTTAAATATACTAATTGAATAAGGATGGGAAGGACTTAATGTTTTTTTACCTATGATTAAAGACATCCTAACTCGTTTCTCATAGGGATCAAAAGTAGTCAACAGAGCGCGACGACGGGTGAGACATTTTCTTTGTCCTGGACAGATTAGGGGCTCTAATCTTCAAAGTAAAGGGGGTATTCGTAATCAACATACCATATGCACCCAACGAGGCTCAATTATTAGGAGTGGGCAAGTGACTGACGACAGTGAGCATCCTTAACTTGTTTGATTGTGCTTCGAGTGTTTTTACATATAATGTAACACTTGTAAGTACTTATCATTAATTTAGTCGTTAGACATTGATGGTTAGCATCAATTTGTAATTAGAGTATGAATCTATATGAACATTCACAAGAAATACCGGGGGGATATGTCCACATATTTTAGAATACACAAATATTCTTAACTAGTAGGATGCTTTTATATAATTCTGCTTTTTATGTGAGGAGAAAAATTTATAATCACTATAAAAAGTTATGTATTAAATAAATTTTATACGTATGTAATAACTCTTAAGTAACATATTAAAATCTTGATATCATTCTTGTTGTTACAATTGTGAGAGTGGACATGTTCTTGGAAAAAGCTTTAAGTGCACTCAATTTTGGATTTATATAAAGTGTGTGTCTATATATATATATATATATATATATATATATATATATATATATGCATTGCGTGTGTAATTTGAATAAGTCACAAAAAAGTCTGTAGCTTTTTGAATTGGAGGCTCCAATTTTGAATGAGTTGTAGACTTCAAAACTGTCTTCCCTTAAAGCTGGTTTGATTAATTCATCAAAAGTATACTTAATTGCATAACGTTGTGTAGTGTCACTTTCACTTGTCCATGCCCACTGCTATACTTTATGTAGAACCTGTCAACTCAGTATTAGAATTTTTCCTCTAAGATCATCCATATTAGTTGGGAAGAATATGGGGATAATGTAAGAGTGATTAGGAAAGATAATGGAGGAGGGGAGAGAAAAAAAAAAAGAGAAAATTGATTTTTTTAAAAAAAATAAAAATAAAAATAATGCTGTCAGGCGCGCCTGACGCACCACCGGGCGCGTGCAGTGCACGTGCCCGGCTTGGCTTTTGCACAGGCTGTGCGCGAAACGCGCACAGCCATACCTCTTTCTTTTTCTTTTTTTTAAAAAAAAAAAAAATCTGACATTAACTCTTCATTTGCAGAGTGATTCTTTCTCAAATAACTCACTCCCACATCAATATTATTTTTGGCTTGAGTGATTTATTTCTGAAATATCTCCATATTCTCCCCTTAGTGTGGATGCTCTAAGATTATGAAATTCATAACTTCAACGCGTGCCAAAAGTGTAGTTGATTATGGTTAAACTAAATGTTAATTAAGTTCGGTTGAATTAGTAATCACAAAGTTATTTCTTAAAAAAATAATAATAATAATCACAAAGGTACAAATTTGATTCATAGCGGGAGTGGCCTATTAACTTTATTGATTTGAACCGATCATCTCTTTGTGGTCCTTTTACTGGCTAAGATCACAATGTCGGGTTTACCTAATGCACACTATTGGATGTGACTATGACACTACTACTGACTCTGTCAAGTTCAAACTTGTGACCTATTTATGAGAGTTACAACTATGTTGTTTGACAAAAGGTCTCTGGCAAAGAAAAGTCATGTATATATATGTGTGGAGTTTTTTGCACTTTTGGTCCCACGACTAAAGTGGCACTAGCAGAATTGATCCACGACTTTTGAACCTTGCAATTTTAGTCCACGACTATTGATTTTTTTTACAAAAATGGTCATTCCGGCCACTTTTCCGTCAAAATTCCACCGGAATTTTTTTTAATCCATTTTTAACAGGGCTAAAATTGACATTTTACTTATCTCAAAATATAAGGAAATACATAAAACGGAAAGGTAAAAGCGATTGCATTTGAGAATCTCCGCCGCTTCTCTCGCCGGAAATCTATACAACGAAGCTTTTCCGATGTCTTCGGATGATCCCGCGGGCGTGCTGGCTTCGCCTCCAATGCTGCTGCCGGATAACCCAACTAGCCCGGGGAACGCCACGGCCGCTCCGCCGCTTACTGACAGCCCTACATGCTCCAGGAACTCCGCCACCTGGGGCAGTAGTATGTAGCCCAGTAATATTGTATGTAGTCAAATGTCAATTTTTTTCTTTGATTTTTTTAGATAAGTAAAATGTCAATTTTAGCTATGTTAAAAATGAATAAAAAATGAATAAAAAAAATTTCCGGTGGAATTTTGACGGAAAAGTGGCCGGAAGGATCATTTTTGTAAAAAAATCAATAGTCGTGGACTAAAATTGTAATATTTAAAAGTCGTGGATCAATTCTGCTAGTGCCAGTGTAGTCGTGGGACCAAAAGTGTAAAAAACTCTATATGTGTGTGTGTATTTGTGGGTTATAAATTAGTGAGATAGAGTAAGGATGAGTTGGAAATGTGAAGTGTGCGCGTGTGCTGGGAAAGAGCGTTGAGGACAAAATGGACCATAGAAGTGACTAAAAAAGGTCGATTCCAAGTTGGATGGATGCCGCGTTTCTGGCTCTGAATCAACCTGTTCCATTTCATTTTCTTGTTTTCTTTCTCCTAATTAATTATTATTATTATTATCATCATTAATCTTATCCCCTTCAATTCGGTTTGTGGTTTCTTCGTACCTGCGCAGCTTCAATCCCACTATAACTATAACGTCATCTCCCATTCCCTCTTAACTCTCAACTCACGTCTCTCAAATTATTGTACTCTCATCATTTTTTGCACATTTTTTCCACGTGCTTAAACCCTCTTCCATTTTTTCTCTACTCCACTTCCTCATGTGGTCAACGCCTGTTTTTTACAATATTTTTTTATAGTCCAAGTTTATAGTTTCATGAATCTCATTAATTCGTCATCAAGCGCATAAGAAGGTAAATTGAATTAATTTAATTTCAAAATTCAATATCAAATTAGACACTTATGCACACAAAAAGTTCAACCAAACTCGAAACTCTAATGTTTATGCATGGCAGGAATCGAATCCCACCTTGCAGTTAGAAGCAAGTATTAAGTAATGTTTTTTATCCACTAGACTAATGTTTTGGGAGAACCCACAAGTGAATTGCAATGTTTGATCTTGTGGAATTTTTTTTTTTAATATTTTTTTTTTAAATCACTAGAAAGATTAGAGTGTATATGATGAATTGATGATCATATAATTAGGAGGGATGTGTATTTAGTAAGCAAGAATCAACTAGCACTACTAGAATTTTGTAAACTTTTATTTAAAGTAAAGTAAGATTTGTCTTTTATCTTATTGAAAACAAACTTTTTTGCCTACATATTTGTATTTTAAAAGTAACTCTTTCAAAATTTCCATCTACCGAACTACTTAACTAAATTCGGAATTACTTAATTAAATTCGGTTGGCTTGTTTATATATATATATATATATATATATATATATATATATATATATAACTTTTTGCCTTTTGAAATTTGTGTTTACCTTAGTGGACCGAAAACAAACAAAAATCAGTTACTATTTGAATCATAGAAAGCTTCAAAAACTTTAAGGAAATTAAAACAAAAACACAAACAATTCAATTCAGATTTAAATCCATGATTTGTTACATGAGTTTGTCACTAATACTTTATTTAAAATATATTTTGTCTCACTTATAGTTTCATCCGTTTGCAACTGTTGGTGAATAGTTAATGAAAATTTTCATTCACTTTCCAATAATCAGAAACAAAAAGTAACAATGCACGATTTTCTTGCATGAAATATGTTTGGTTTATGATTTTTTTTTAATTTAAAAATTTAGAAATAAATCAAATAGTAAACGGTTCTTACAAAACTACCAAATAAAACACCAAAAAAAAAAAAAAACACACACACACACACACATATATCAAAATGATCAATATATAGAAGGGAAAATGGCACTTTTTCCCCCTGAGTTATATACTTATAGCACTTTTTCCCCCTCAATTATTTAGGTAAGCACATTAGCCCCTTCAATTATTCTAAAAGTGGTGGTTTTTCCCCCTAATATATTAAATTGACATTTATACCCTTAAAATAAACATTTTATTTATTTTACTTCTCCAACAAATTATTGCGTATACGTAGGGATGACCACGATTCGGTTCGAACTGAATCGGACACTATAGCAATCGAATTAAAAGTTTTCGGTTATGATTCAGATCTAGAACCCAATATTTGGATTTCAATTTATTAAAATTATGAATCAAAGAAATTGGATCCTGAACCGTGAACCAGCGGTTCCGGACCCGATTCGCGATTTTGAACCGTTTTTATTTTAAAATTTTATTTTTATTTTAAAAATAATCTAAATTCAACAATAAATGTATTTTATTTTTTCAGTTCGGAACATGAACCGTCCATTCCGGAATTTTAATAAACTCTAAATATCGATTTTCGATTCTAAATTGTAATTGGAATATTTCGGTTTGGTTGCTATAGTGTTTATTTGGTTTGAACCAAATTATGGTCATAATTTGTTGGAGAAGAAAAATAAATAAAATATTTATTTTAAGGGTAAATATGTCCATTTAACATTTTAGGGGGAAAAATAGCCACTTGAATAATTGAGGGGGGAAAAGTGCTATAAGTATATAACTCAGGGGGAAAAAGTGCCATTTTCCCTATATAGAAACTAATAGATTCATATTTTAATAATTAAGTTGATGCTAATGAAGGAATATTCTTAATATTGAATATACACACGTGTTTAGAGAGGAGTAAAGGGTATAAACAAAATGAGTCAACCAACCATCTTTAGTACTCTACAAACCAAAGTGAAAACAACGCTAATAAAAAGGCTAACGCAATCGATTCTGTTATGCGCTCTCGTGTCCGTTTACTAAAAAGAATTGTTGATTCCATTCCCCACTAAATAAAGTTATTTTATTGGAATAAAATTTTAATTTAAATACCAAATGCCCCTCCTGTTTTATTCTTATTCCATGAGATATTGAAATGCCCTTCCACATTTTGGACGGTAATGTCCCTACTAAACCAAGAGTAGCTGGCCTATCTCTGGCTGGAGAGGAAGAAGAAGGATTTTTTTTTTTAATCTAATTGCATGAATTTGGCTTATTTAGGAAGTTAATGACTAACTAGTATTTTAACTGTGCGATGCAAGAAAATAATTATGATACGGTGAATTAAAGGATAAATGAGAAAAATAGAAAATCATTGTAGAACATTAGAATTGTATCAAAAAAGTTATGATTAAATAATATATTAAAGACGTAAAGTTATACAAATTTTGGAAAACCTCCTTATACGCAATGTTTGATGTGGAATTACTTTGGGTGTTCTCCTTATCACAAATCAAAATCTTCAAACCATTTGGGGCAGTGAGTCTTGAAACAACAACATATAATAATTGTCCATGACTGAATACTGGTCTTTGCAAAAAAGGCCTACATAGGTGAGAAAGTGATTGACCATGACTCTTGTTAATTGTCTTTGCGTAAGAGACTGTTGACTCAAAGTATTTTGTCAAAGTTATGTGCAAAAAGAATTCCAGTTCTATAAAGGAATATCAGTACTAAGAGGAATAGTTATTGAAGAATACTAGTTCTAAGGGGATTTGTTGTTGAAGATTTTCTAGTTCTATTTTGATTAGGAATAGTTTGTTATTCACGAATCTGTTATGAATAGCTACTATAAATAGGGGATGTCCTTTATTGTAGATCTCAAGCATTCAACATTAATCTTGTGAGGTACGAGAGTCTTTGAGAATATGATACTAAATTCCCCTAGAAAGTAGTACATGTGTTTAGGTTTCAATAGTTTGGTAGGAAAGATCATTCTATTGTGTAATCTCAGGTTCCAAACAGTGTACTTTAAATATTGAGCTTTTAGTGGATTTAGGCAAGTTCTCAAATTGAGAAGTGCCTCGCAGATTAGGGTTGTTTGCCCGAACTGCGTTACAGATCGTTTGTGTTACAACGTCAGTTTCAACATCACTGTGTGCTGCGCTTTACAAATTTTCAATTGGTATCAGAGCCAAACTGCTTAAGTTATTAGCAGGATCCTAATGGAGTTTCCCAGAGAAGGATTGTCAAGCACCAGGCCCGCTGCTCTCTTTGGTACAAATTTCTCCTACTGGAAAACTAGAATGAAAATCTATATTTTGGCACAAGGAGAAGGAGTTTGGGATGCTGTTGAGAAAGAATGGAAGAATCCAGTTGATGATAAAGGTAATCAAAAACCTAAAACAGAATGGAACGAAAAAGAGCGAAGGGAATATAATTACAATTCAAAAGCAATGAATGCCATCTATGGAGCGGTAAGTGAAAAACTAATCGCTACCACTGGCATAGCTAAAATTGCATGGGATATACTATGTGATCATCACGAAGGAAATACTTCTGTTAAGCAATCCAAGCTACAAATGATACAAACACAGTTTGAGAATTTAAAAATGGAAGAAGATGAGGATATCTCACAGTTTAGTGCAAGAGTTTTAGGGATTGCTGGAGATGCGTTTAACCTAGGCGAACCTATTCCTGAACCTAGGCTCGTCAAAAAGGTCCTACGTTCCCTACCTGAGAGATTTATGATAAAGGTTACAGCCATCCAAGAAAACAAAGATCTAAACACCTACAAACTCAGTGATCTAATGGGAAATCTTCAAACATATGAGCTTGAGATACTGCAAAAGGGGAAAAATAATGACAAAGGAATTGCGCTCCAATCAAAGCAGAAAGAGAGTCCAGAAATTGATACTGAAACCATGGAACAATCAATTGCTCTCCTAACAAAGAATTTCAACAGAGTTCTCAAAAAATTCAACAAATTTAGAAGCAAAAGTGCTTCAATCAATCAAGGGAACTTCCCAACTGGACAAAATCAATCTATTTCAAAAGGAAGGGAGAGTCTAAAACCTGAAGGAATTCAGTGCTACGAGTGCAAAGGGTTTGGACACATCCAGTCAGAATGTCCAACATATTTTAAAAGGAAGAACAAAACATATGTGGCAACACTAAGCGATGACTCAGATAGTGAAGAAGACACCAACACTAATTTCATAGCATTCACCGCAAATTATGAGAATGACAACGGAAACGAAAATGATATGCAAGAACTGCTAGAGTCATATACCCAATTGTATGCTAAATGGGAACAAATCATCAAAGTGAATCTAGAGCTCATGCAAGAAAATCGGTTTCTAAAAGGTGAAAAAGAGAGAGAAGAAAATCGCCTCAAAGAAACTCAAAATGAATTATTAGAATCTAAAAACAGAGAGGTCAAACTGTTACAAGAAATCAAGGCACTAGATGGAAGGCCTAGATCTCCAAATCCAGCGTCCAGTGAAAGCCACTCTTCTGAAAATCCTGAGGTGTCACAACATCACTTTCAACACCGAAGAAGAATCAGATGTTATTACTGCCACAAATTGGGACACATAAAGGCGTATTGCTTCAAAAAACAAAATGATCTCTATTACAGACAAAACAACAGAGATTGGGCAGTACAAAGCAAAAATAACAGCAAGAAAGTATGGGTAAGAAAGGAACAAACACAAGCTGTTGCGTATACCTCAGAAACAAGCCAAGAACAAAGTGTTTGGTATTTTGACAGCGGATGTTCAAGACATATGACAGGAAATCCACATTATCTTGAGAATATCCAGTACAAAAATGAAGGGCATGTCACTTTTGGAGATGGAGGAAAAGGACAGATTATCGCAAGTGGTACCTTGAATGTCCATGGACTGCCCAGATTACCAAGAGTCTTTTGGTACAAGGACTCAAAGCAACCCTTATCAGTATAAGTCAACTGTGTGATGATAAACTCAAAGTAGAATTTTCCAAAGAGAATTGTAAAGTCTACAACCAAAAACATGAATGTGTTGTGATGGGGAAAAGATCATCTGATAAAAGCTACACATGGGATGGTGATCTAACCTGTCATTAATCTACCATCAATCAAACACCACTGTGGCATCAACTAAGAGGGAGAAAGACAGAGACCAAGGTGTTTGCCAAAAATTTGACAAAGGGGGAGAATGTTGACTCAAAGTATTTTGTCAAAGTTATGTGCAAAAAGAATTCCAGTTCTATAAAGGAATATCAGTACTAAGAGGAATAGTTATTGAAGAATACTAGTTCTAAGGGGATTTGTTGTTGAAGATTTTCTAGTTCTATTTTGATTAGGAATAGTTTGTTATTCACGAATCTGTTATGAATAGCTACTATAAATAGGGGATGTCCTTTATTGTAGATCTCAAGCATTCAACATTAATCTTGTGAGGTACGAGAGTCTTTGAGAATATGATACTAAATTCCCCTAGAAAGTAGTACATGTGTTTAGGTTTCAATAGTTTGGTAGGAAAGATCATTCTATTGTGTAATCTCAGGTTCCAAACAGTGTACTTTAAATATTGAGCTTTTAGTGGATTTAGGCAAGTTCTCAAATTGAGAAGTGCCTCGCAGATTAGGGTTGTTTGCCCGAACTGCGTTACAGATCGTTTGTGTTACAACGTCAGTTTCAACATCACTGTGTGCTGCGCTTTACAAATTTTCAGAGACGATTAGAGAGAATTGTCTTTTTTTTTTAAATTTAAAATGCAGACTGTTTAAAAAAAAATGCAGACTCAAATCTGAACGAACTTAATGACACTCTTGAAATCAAGATTTTATGTCTTGCACCAGGGACGGAGCCAGAAATTCGGTTGGGGGGGGGGGGGAACGGTACAGACGGATTTAGAAAATTTTTCTAGAAAAGGCGAAACATTAAAACAAAAGAGATAATTTAAAAATAAATAAATAAACTACCTAAGAAATTTTTTTTTTGAAAAGAGCCTGCGCGGCATTTATTGGAAATATGCTGAAATAGAGTCTGGCGGACCATTGTCCGAGTACATAGGTGCTGAATAATTAAAGGCCGAAGTGGCTAAAATATGTGCTAAACAATTATCCGATCTAGGAACATAATTAACTGAAACATAATCAAAGGAAACCATCCGGTTTCTGCAGGTGTCAATGGCATAGCCGAGGTATGAACGTGGTGTATCCTTCGCTTGTGATAAATACTGTTGTAGTAACAAAAAATCCATTAGTATGTCCACCGATCTCTCTCCACGATCCAATAGCCAGGATAACACTTCTTTACATGCAATTGCTTCTGCCATAAGCGGGGAGAAGCAGTCTATCAATGGCGCCTGTAGAGCTGTGATATACGATCCCTGTTCGTCTAGGATAATTGCCCCAACAGCGGTCTTATTTGTGGCATGGAAAAAGTCCGCATCAAAGTAACATTTATTCCGTGGGGAGGCAGCCGTGTGGCTTGTGGGCGGGACGGCAGCAGGCTGTTGTGCCACTCCTTGGCGCTGCTCGGAGGTTGCCGTGGGCAATCCACGCGGGGCGTGTTGCTGTTGCGGGCGGTCCGGGTGTGCAATTTGCCATGCCCGGATCGCCGCGGTTACAGTTGCAATTATCTTTTGTGGTCTGGGCAAGTATGCATCCCACACAGCTCCATTCCTCGCTCGCCATATATAGTATAGTAGGCCTACTGCATAAATAATTCCATCATCATCTAGAATATTTAATATCTCATTAAACCAAGCATGGAAAATATCTGTGATAGTATTGGAGATTGGAAGGTGAGATTGTGCCCATATGTTCCTTGTATAATCACATCTAACCAAAGAGTGCATAACATTCTCATGCATAATCCCACACATAGCACATGTTGGGCTAATATCCACTCTCTTTATAATGAGGTTCGTTGTTGTGGGCAATATATTATTCAAGGCTCTCCATAAAAATGTTTTCCATCTCGGGGGTACTTTGAGCTTCCATAATTTGGGCCATTTATCAAACATCCCTGTCGTCTGGTCATAATTTCCCACTATTTGCCTGTAACCGCTTTTTACCGAGTATTCTCCTGTTATATCACCATGCCAATACCACATATCCTCATAATCTGGTGACACAGGTATTTTCAATATTCGTGTCACATCCTCCGGGATGAAAATATCAGTTAAAATATCATTATCCCAGGCCGCCGCTTCCTGATCTATTAATCCCGTTACAGTTGCCTGCGCCAAGTATGGTGGTTTGTCAGTGATTATTTTCGCATTATTTTCATCCTGAAACCATGGATGATCCCATATAAGAGTTCCCTCCCCATTTCCAATCCTGCGTCTGACTCCCCCACAAATTAATTCCTGTGCAGCCATAATACTACGCCAGCAGTAACTTGGATTATTCCCTATACAAGCATCAAAGAATGTCCCTTTAGGATAGTACCTGGCTTTATATATTCTGAAAACCAATGATTCAGGTTTGGTGAGTAAACGCCAGGCCTGCTTCCCCAGCATAGCTAAATTAAAGGCATGCAACTCCTTAAAGCCCAATCCCCCATATTTCTTAGGGATGCACAATTTATCCCATGCCTTCCAATGGATGCCCTGATCATCCTTAGATCTCCACCAGTAACGATTCATAACTCTCTCAATGGCTGTGCAAGTATTCATAGGTAGTAAAAAGACACTCATAGAAAAAGTGGGCATAGACTGTGCCACACTTTTCAATAAGACCTCCTTACCTGCCGTGAAAGCAATTTCTTATTCCAGGACCCAATCCGCTGTCTAATCTTATCATCAATATATGAGAAAACTGCTATCCTATTCCTGCCCACAAATGATGGAAGTCCTAAATACTTCCCAAAATTCGGAGCCTGAGCCACTCCCAAAATACTGGCAATCTCCTCTCTGTGTTCATCCCGTGTATTCTTACTATAGCAAATACTTGACTTATAGTAATTCACTGCTTGCCCAGACATTTCCTCATACACTGATAAACACTGTTTTACCACACTGGCTTCCTGCGCAGTTGCTCTAAAAAAGAGTAAGCTGTCATCTGCAAAAAATAAGTGGGATATAGGGGGGCTCCCCTAGCTACTCTGCACCCATGTAGATCTCCTCTCAACTGTGCCTGTTGTAGTAGCAATGAAAGTCCCTCAGCACAAATAATAAAGAGATAAGGTGATAGTGGATCACCCTGCCTCAATCCACGAGTCGGCATGATCTGGTCACTTCGTGTTCCACCAACCTGAATACTATATGAAACTGAGGTCACACACAACATTATCAAATCCACCCACCTTTCATCAAAGCCCAATGCTAACATCATACTCCGCAAGAAGGGCCACTCCATTCGGTCATAGGCTTTTGCCATATCCAGTTTCAAAGCCCCCCATCCTGTGATTCCACATTGTTTTCTGTTCAAAAGATGCCCAACCTCAGCAGCAATCAAAATATTATCTGTTATTAGCCTGTCAGAAATAAAAGCACTTTGGGTGTCAGATATAATATCCCCCATAAGCGGTTTCATCCTGGCAGTTATAACCTTAGCCATAATCCTGTATACCACGTTACTCAGTGCTATCGGTCTATAATCCGAGACCATCTCAGGGGTTTTCTTCTTAGGGATTAATATTATATTTGTATCATTTAGGCGAGCTGGAAACGAGCGAGTATTAAGACAATTCACAATATAGGCCAATACATCACCACCCACTACATCCCAAAAATGCTGGTAGAAACCCGGATTCATTCCATCCGGTCCTGGTGCTTTGTCAGGAAACATTGAAAATAGAGCACTCTTTACCTCACTAGCATCAAAGGGCCGCAAGAGCAATTCATTCTGTACTTGTGTTACCCGAGAGGCTATATTTCCAAAGAATTCCCCACTATCACTTGGAGAGTCGGAGGTAAAGATAGTCTTATAATAGTTGTAGATAACATTCCTCATGGCTTCACCTTCCACCCAATCCCCACTATCATTCATAATTTTTAAAATAGTATTCTTTTTCTTGCGATGAGATGCATACCTGTGGTAATATTTCGTGTTAGCATCCGCGTTCTTAAGCCAATGCTGCTTGGCTCTCTGCCTCCAGTATGTATCCTCATGGGCCTCAATACGACATAGGCACTCCTCTAAACGTTGGAACTCAGCTAATGAGACCGGATCATTACACCCCCTCAGACGCAATTGTTCCTTCCGCAGGTTTCTGATCCGTTCACCAAACTTATGAAAACGCTCTCCTCCCCAACGTGACAAACGATTTCCACAAATAGAGATACATTCCTGCAACCCCCTTCCTGCGCCTTCATTCCATGCCTTCTCCACCACATTCCTACATCCTTCATCGTGCAGCCATGCCATCTCAAAACGAAACCCTCTTCTCAACCACCCGTCCTTTCCCGAAGATTCAGAATCCCAAGGAAAAGAGCAGAATGATCGGACTTTCGGGTTAATATATTTTGCACACTAGCATCCGGCACATTCTCACGCCAACTCTGGCTAGTCAAAACCTTGTCTAATCTTTCCTCTATCCAATTCGGTGTGCCTTTTCCTTTTTCCCAGGTAAACGGATATCCCATCATTGGCATCTGCGCTAATCCACACTCCTCTATAGTCTCACCGAACCCATGCAATAAACTCAGAGGATGAGGGTTTCCACCCCGCTTCTCAGATTGATAAAGTAAATCATTAAAGTCTCCAATCATCACCCACGGTAGATTCGATCTGCCAGCTAAGGTACGAATAAGATCCCACGAGTCTCTTCTTTGACCCCTCTGTGAAAAGCCATAAAAGCCAGTCATTCTCCACTTTTCAAACCCCGGCATAGTCACCTCAACATTCACATAGTTTGTGGAATAACTAATCCATCTCGCTGTATTATTCGCTCTCCACAACAGAGCCAATCCACCACTCAAACCAGAACTACCTAAGAAATATAATTGTAAATATTGTTGGATATGGACGAAAAATAAAACACATCGAAACTTTATAAAAATATTCATAACAAAATATGAAACATAATTAATAAAATAATTTGAATAGAAAACACATTATAAATTACACATCTAATTATAGAGAGTGTGTGTAATATTAAAAAAGCTATTAAAAAGGAATAAAACAAAAGAGATAATTTAAAAATAAATAAATAAACTACCTAAGAAATATAATTGTAAATATTGTTGGATATGGACGAAAAATAAAACACATCGAAACTTTATAAAAATATTCATAACAAAATATGAAACATAATTAATAAAATAATTTGAATAGAAAACACATTATAAATTACACATCTTATTATAGAGAGTGTGTGTAATATTAAAAAAGCTATTAAAAAAGAATTGTAAAACTATGTTGATGCTAAGATTGGAACCCTTAACCTCATTATTACCAAAGTTGTGCCCTACCACCTACTCTAACTCACTTCTTGTTAATATTTTATAGTTTTTTTATACTAATACTAAAACATGTACTATATATACATATATACATACAAATACTATATATGGGGTGGGGGTGGGGGTGGGATGAGGGGGGCAGCCGCCCCCCTCTCCCTCCGTCCCTGTCTTGCACTATTTCCCAGTAATACATTTGCTTCTAAAACATGATTTTCGAGTTTAGTAATGATCATCCGTGTGTTGTTACACAAATCAATTGAGCGATTAGTTCATTGCACTGCAGTTTCATCCCACACTGTTGACAATATTAGAATCAAATTTGCAAGCACGGTTGATAAAGCTTAAATATGTATTTTCTTCAATGTTTTAAAGAAGTCATATATTCATTGATAGAGTCAACCACATCAAGTGTTGGAGATATTACCCTCTTTTACAAGTATGTTGGAATTTGAATCATAAAAAATATTGGAGTATTTGTTTCACAAATATTCTTTTAGAAAATGTGTACATGATATTTTAAAGGTATTGTAACCCTATGGGCTGAGTATATAAAAATGTTACATTTTAAAAGCTTTGCAAACAAATAATCTACTAAAGAAAAGAATAGTAGTGATACTAAAAACAAAATATAGCATTTTAAGTGTTTTAAATGAATATAATATAACCGTATTAATTTAAAAATTAAAACAAAAATATCAATATAAGTGTCATTTAAAAGATCTTAATTACAACTTTTAAATTATATATTTTTATATATTAATTTTATTTGTATAAAAAAACTAAACTTAAGTTAGAAAAATAGAATTTAATTTAGTGTACTCGAAAAGTGGACCATAGTCCATGGTATAATACTCCACTATTTTAGGAAATCATTACAATAAATTAAATTAACATATATATCTTATTATTTAATTTTTAAAAAATTAGTTGTAATTTCAAGTTTCAAAATAAAAGTATTTTAATTTGGGTAGTAAAAAGTCACTTTTTTATAACTTACATTAATTAAAATGAAACAAAAAAATAGAGCTCAAACAATAATGTATATTATTAAATGAAATTGAAGTAGAATTAAATTGATATTTTAGTATTGCTATAATGAAACTACTATAGAGGAAAAATGAAAGTAAAAAATATAATAATATTATCAAATGAAACTGAAGTGTAATTAAAATAATACACACTTTATAGTCCATGATACTACATAGACTATGGTTCACAGTAAAATTTGCCCCTCTTTAGAAAGGGAGACCATAGGATTGTAAATTACTGAACTCTATGTTCATAATTTTTAAACTTTATATTCACAATTATTGAACTCTATATTCACAGTTACAGATCTCCATGGACGGAGCCAAGGGGGGCAGCTGCCCCCCTCCCCCACCCCTACCCCATATATAATAGTTGTATGTATATATGTATACATAGTACAAGTTTTAGTATTACTATAAAGAAACAAACAGATAAATGTTAATAAGAAGTGAGATAAATTAGTTGGCAGAACATATGTTTTGGTTATAATGAAGGTCTAGAGTTTGAATCCTTTATTGGCATAAATACAATTTTACAGTTTCTCTTGTCTTCAACACAATCACATTGTTAATAGCTTTTTTTTTTTTTTTTTTTTTTTTTTTTTTGGTAAATTTGAAGCCCTCAAAGAGAGCCTTATCTAACCCTTAAACTAGGCGTGCCACGGGAATCCGCCCGGAGAATGTCATTGAGGTCCTCCGGTGCCGAGTCGATCCAAAGCGTTTCCCAAGCGATATTCTGACCAAAATTCGCGAGCCAATCAGCACATCTGTTACATTCTCTCATTATGTGAGAGATCTTGAACCTGTGAAACTTTCTGCTAAGGTCTAAGCAGTCTCTGACCAAAGCCACAGCGGCCTCTTCGTTATGATTACCCTTATTCATGACGGTGACTGCTGCCGCCGAGTCCATTTCGGCCCAAACTGAATCCCACCCCTCTCTCAAACAGAGCCGTAAACCCTCCCTTAGGCCCCACAGCTCTGCTGAGAAGCTATCTGTCATGCCGATTTTTGTTGCGAAACCTTTGACCCAAAGCCCGTGATCATCGCGAACAATGCCACCGGCACTTGCTAGCCCTGTGCTAGCCTTCATCGCTCCGTCTGTGTTGATTTTCACCCACCCCGGTTGAGGGGGAATCCAACTGACCCAGTTGTGATAGCCTTGAGACACACCTCTGTGCCTGATAATATGAGCTTTTGCTTCATTTGCAAAAG